ATCGACCCCCTCACCAGGGAGACAATTACTCCACACCGTAACACTTGGAGGATCACCACACAAGAAGGTATCAATACTTTCGAGTTAGCCCGACTGCATACCGAGGCAGACAAGTGCCAACGTTGGAAAGATGCTGCCGCTGTCCCTCCCGCACTAGATGTAGCCTTCCACATGTGCAACATCTGTGAACATCCCTGCCAGCTCTGTATCGTCCTCTTTAGTCACCTCAGGACTCACCACCGAAGGTGACATCCTTAATAACTCATATCATTGTATCATAGCTGTATGAGCATCATACTCGATTCCGAGTGACAGCAAAGTAGTAGTAGAAGTGTATGTGTGTGTGTTTGTGATAATAATAATAATTAACTGTTTATTGAAAGAGCATGGCAGCCAGAAGGCTGAAAATATACAGAGACATAATCGGGGAATGGGTCACTTGATGGACAACTAATAAACAAGTAACATAAGTGATACAAATATGATATATAATAACTAGATGGGGAGAAGCTCAAACTACAGGGCATTTCAACATAGTAATAGTGAAAGAAGGTAATATTGGCTCGAAGTGAATACAGGTTAATTATGAGTTGATAATTTTTACAATGGTTGGGACTGGGCTGTTCTTATAGCGATCAATACGTGCTCGTATGTGCTAGATGCGGTTATGGTGTCGAACAGCAATTCGCGGACGAGGGATCTCGGGTGGTAGTAGGAGCCGGTGTCGAGGATGGTGCAGAAGCTTCTCACCAAATTTGCAGATGAGGTCGTGGTGATGGTCAGAGAGAGCCAAGAGGGTCAGTGTGTTGAGCGCTTCTTGATATTTGGAGTAGGTGGGGGGAATAATCTTGCATGCCCTCAAGGTGTTTCCGTTGTGTGGCATTTAGAGAGGAAGACCAGGCAGGGGAGGCAAAGGTGAGCTTGGGAAGTATGAATGTTGATTTAGTACTGTGGAGCTCGGGTGCAGTAACTCTGAGGGACTTGAGCCGGTGGAGGAGGTGAAGATGAAAACTGGAGGATTTGACAACTGTACTGACGTGTGTTTTTCAGTTTAGTTTGTTATCTATAGTGATGCCGAGGAGCTTAGTGGAATCTACAACCTGGGGTGTGTTGGGGCCTAAAGTAACGGAAGGGGGTGGGACAGCGTCGGAGGAGAGGTTGATGTGCATAACCATGGTCTTGGTATGGTTGATGGTGACATGGTTGTTGGTGACCCAATTTTGGAGATTGTTCAATAAATCCTGGAGGGCGGTATAGTCGAGAGCCGAGTTGTTGACACTGATCCCAATGCTGGAGTCGTTGACATATATCCAGCGAGCAGGGGTTTCTCTTAGGGCATCATTGATAAGCATTAGGAAGCAGAGCGGTCCCATCTTGGTGCCTTGGGGGACGCCACAGGTGAGTGACTGATAATTGGAGACAGCCCCTCAGAAGCGTACTGCTTGGCGTCGGTCACTAAGGATGTCTGTAAGCCATGGTATAAGGCGTCTTCGAAACCCGAGGTCGATAGTGTTGTTGATGATTAAATTATGGTCAACTAGGACAAATGCTTTGGTGAAGTCAATGAAGGCGACAGCCACAGTGGTCTTTCGTTTTTCCAGATGGCGGTACATGTAGTCGAGAAAGATGACAAGACTGTGTGCGTGCTGAATCAGGCCTTGAACTTGATGGTTGTGTTGGATGGATGAAATGAGAACAGTCCTTTTAGAATGATGTTGGTAATGTTAAAAAAGATGCAACTGAACAATAATCTAGTAATATTTTGTTTTTTATTGATATTTATTCAGTAAAATTGTCAGGCAATTTCACATTGATTCATCATTTATATAGACTGTTGTAGAAGCTTTATGAGTAATGTACCTCGACAGTGGTTGGTATACAAACAATGGTAAACAGTAAAGTAGGTTGACAATTGACAGTAGAAGTAGCTAATGAATGCAGTATAATGTTCCTTTGGATGTTGAGTTGTAGACGGGGTCGTGTGAGTGACAGGCTGGGGAAAGGCTGGATCATCTCAACACAAGTATGGAAGCAAGTTATAGTTTTGTGTGTTGATGTTTTAGAAGTTTAAGGTTAATGCTTCTTCTTATTAACAGCTCCTACACCATAATGTTCCTCCTACACCATAATGTTCCTCCTACACCATAATGTTCCTCCTACACCAGTAAGTTCCTCCTACACCATAATGTTCCTCGTACACCATAATGTTCCTCCTACACCATAATGTTCCTCCTACACCATAATGTTCCTCGTACACCATAATGTTCCTCGTACACCATAATGTTCCTCCTACACCATAATGTTCCTCCTACACCATAATGTTCCTCCTACACCATAATGTTCCTCCTACACCATAATGTTCCTCCTACACCATAATGTTCCTCGTACACCATAATGTTCCTCGTACACCATAATGTTCCTCGTACACCATAATGTTCCTCCTACACCATAATGTTCCTCGTACACCATAATGTTCCTCGTACACCATGTTCCTCCTACACCATGTTCCTCCTACACCAGTATGTTCCTCCTACACCAGTATGTTCCTCCTACACCAGTATGTTCCTCCTACACCAGTATGTTCCTCCTACACCAGTAATGTTCCTCCTACACCAGTATGTTCCTCCTACACCATAATGTTCCATTACACCATAATATTCCTCCTACATAAATGTTCCTCCTACACCAGTATGTTCCTCCTACACCAGTATGTTCACCTCCTACACCAGTATGTCCTCCTACACCAATGTGTTCCTCCTACACCAGTATGTTTCCTCCCTACACAATATGTTCCTCCCTACACCAGTATTTCCTCCTACCAAGTATATTTCTCTCCTACACAATATGTTTCTCCTACAATGCTCTTTCCTCCTACACCAGTATATTTCCTCCTACCAGTATGTTCCTCCTGCACAATGTATTCCTCCTACACCAATGTATTTCCTCCTACACCAGTATGTTCCTCCTACACCAGTATTTCCTCCTACACCAGTATGTTCCTCCTACCTGTTATATTTCCTCCTACCAGTATGTTCCTCCCTACACCAATATGTTCCTCCTACACCAGTATATTTCCTCCTACACCAGTATATTCCTCCCTACCACCAGTATGTTCCTCCTACACCAGTATGTTCCTCCTACACCAGTATGTTCCTCCTACACCAGTATGTTCCTCCTACACCAGTATGTTCCTCCTACACCAGTATGTTCCTCCTACACCAGTATGTTCCTCCTACACCAGTATGTTCCTCCTACACCAGTATGTTCCTCCTACACCAGTATGTTCCTCCTACACCAGTATGTTCCTCCTACACCAGTATGTTCCTCCTACACCAGTATGTTCCTCCTACACCGTATATTTCCTCCTACACAGTATGTTCCTCTCACCCAGTATGTTCCTCCCTACACCAGTATGTTCCTCCTACACCATTATGTTCCTCCTACACCAGTATATTTCCTCCCTACACAGTATGTTCCTCCTACACCAGTATGTTCCTCCTACCATTATGTTCCTCCTACACCATAATATTCCTCCTACACCATAATGTTCCTCCTACACCAGTATGTTTCCTCCCTACACCAGTATGTTCCTCCCTACACCATAATGTTCCTCCTACACCCAGTATATTTCCTCCTACACCAAGTATATTTCTCACCAGTATGTTCCTCCTACACCACCAATATTTCCTCCCCTACACCATAATGTTCCTCCCTACACCAGTATGTTCCTCCCTACTCAGTATGTTCCTCCTACACCATAATGTTCCTCCTACACCCAGTATGTTCCTCCTACACCACCGTATTTCCTCCTACACCCATATGTTCCTCCTACACCAGTATGTTCCTCCTACACCATAATGTTCCTCCCTACACAGTAGCATGTTCCTCCTACACCAATGTATGTTCCTCCTACACCAGTATGTTCCTCCCTACACCAGTATGTATTTCCTCCTACACCAGTATATTTCCTCCTACACCAGTATGTTCCTCCTACACCAGTATGTTCCTCTACACCATAATATTTCCTCCCTACACCAGTATGTTCCTCCTACACCAGTATGTTTCCTCCACCAGTATGTTCCTCCTACACCAGTATGTTTCTCCTACACCAGTATGTTCCTCCCTACACCAATATGTTCCTCCTACACCAGTATATGTTTCTCCTACACCAGTATGTTCCTCCTACACCAGTATGTTCCTCCTACACCAGTATGTTCCTCCTACACCAGTATGTTCCTCCTACACCAGTATGTTCCTCCTACACCAGTATGTTCCTCCTACACCAGTATGTTCCTCCTACACCAGTATGTTCCTCCTACACCAGTATGTTCCTCCTACACCAGTATGTTCCTCCTACACCAGTATGTTCCTCCTACACCAGTATGTTCCTCCTACACCAGTATGTTCCTCCTACACCATAATTCCTCCTACACCAGTATGTTCCTCCTACACCAGTATGTTCCTCCTACACCAGTATGTTCCTCCTACACCAGTATGTTCCTCCTACACCAGTATGTTCCTCTTACACCAGTATGTTCCTCCTACACCAGTATGTTCCTCCTGCACCAGTATGTTCCTCCTGCACCAGTATGTTCCTCCTACACCAGTATGTTCCTCCTACACCAGTATGTTCCTCCTGCACCAGTATGTTCCTCCTACACCAGTATGTTCCTCCTGCACCAGTATGTTCCTCCTACACCAGTATGTTCCTCCTACACCAGTATGTTCCTCCTGCACCAGTATGTTCCTCCTGCACCAGTATGTTCCTCCTACACCAGTATGTTCCTCCTACACCAGTATGTTCCTCTTACACAATAAACCTGTACAGGTTTGTTTTGTAGCTACAACTACTGATCCCTCATACATATAATTGTCTCCCTTATAACAATTTTATTCCCTCTCATCACCATCCATCCAGCCTTATGTAACAAACATTTATTGATATAACTTTTATTGTGACAATTATAATTGTTATTGATTTTGGTGTTATGGTCCAACAGTTACAGAATGACCGGATACTGTCCCTCCACACGTGTCAGCTGTACACGTGTGCGTGGTGCGAGTCTGGCTCACTCTACTGGTGGGGCGTCCTGCCCTTTAACCAACGAAAGAAACTTTGGGAAAAGTTTCGCAGCAAGAGTCGTAAACAGCGCTCAGAGATCACTGAGGGAGTGCAGGTACTGTACTGTACAGTGCATCAACTAGTTTACTTGCTGGGTCTAGTTCAGCTTCATATACTAAGTCTATTATAATACTGTAGTGTAGTGTATACAGTAGCTACATTATGTTTTTAAGGCTTAGGAAGAGTGTATGTTAAGTGTGTTTATTAAGTTTATTTTAACAAAGAGAGAAGGAATTGTGAGAATATAGTGAACATAGTATAAGGCACTTGCACTGTGCTCATGTAAGAGTAAGGTATGTCTTAATTACTGATGAAAAGTACAAAATGTTTTGTCCAAAATTTATGAACAAATATGTGAACTTGGTGGAGTGAAAAGCACTATAGAACATCTTGTACTGTTCAAACCAGAAAATTTGTATCTTGAGATGTAGGGATGACATAAAATAATTAAGAGAAGATAGTGGAAATGTCTGAGGCTGTAGACTTTTGAATTGTGAGAAATATGAAATGCACACTATTCTAGACCCTGGTCACTTTAGGCCAGTCAGTGGTATGACTGGACAAACACAGAGAAGTTATTTTCACTGGGGTCTTTTTGATATTAGAGTTGTGTTGTTTTTAATTTTTTTCACATTACATAAATTACAGGTGGGTATGCGGTCGTCCCCCATGTACCACTCCGGGGCCCTGGCATTCTCCACTTCGGGAGGTGTGCCTAAGATCGGCCAGTTGTTGAATGCTGCCTGGAATCTCAGTGACACTTGCAGGTTGGTTTGGTTTATTTGTCCAGTCATGTGAAAAGAAATATTTTAGGTGTACAAAGTCAATGATAATTATAATAGAAGAAAAAATAAATGAAATAATTTTTTTTGCAATTGATACAATAATTACTGAAACTATAACCTAAGTTTTTGAAAAGAATACGTGTAGAAAAGAAAACAGTTAATGTATACAGTATATGTTGTAAAGCAGTGAGAAATATGGAGAGAATTGACAAGGGAAGGAGAAAGAATGAGAGATTTAGGGATGTGAGGGTAGAACAGCGTATGAGAGAGAGGCACACTTGTGAGCAGGGATGAATTGACTTGATGTTGTATGAAAATTACTGTACAAGATGATTAGGAAGGGCAACACTATGATCCTGAGAATGGTGATTAAGGAAAAGCAACACTGTGATCCTGAGAATGGTGATTAAGGAAAAGCAACACTGTGATCCTGAGAATGGTGATTAAGGAAAAGCAACACTGTGATCCTGAGAATGGTGATTAAGGAAAGGCAACACTGTGATCCTGAGAATGGTGATTAAGGAAAGGCAACACTGTGATCCTGAGAATGGTGATTAAGGAAAAGCAACACTGTGATCCTGAGAATGGTGATTAAGGAAAGGCAACACTGTGATCCTGAGAATGGTGATTAAGGAAAAGCAACACTGTGATCCTGAGAATGGTGATTTAGGAAAGGCAACACTGTGATCCTGAGAATGGTGATTAAGGAAAGGCAACACTGTGATCCTGAGAATGGTGATTAAGGAAAAGCAACACTGTGATCCTGAGAATGGTGATTTATATTTAAAGTTCCTTACATTCAAGAAAGATCTTTATAAGTTCCTTACACTCAACAAAGATCTTTATAAGTTCCTTACACTCAACAAAGATCTTTATAAGTTCCTTATACTCAACAAAGATCTTTATAAGTTCCTTACACTCAACAAAGATCTTTATAAGTTCCTTACACTCAACAAAGATCTTTATAAGTTCCTTACACTCAACAAAGATCTTTATAAGTTCCTTACACTCAACAAAGATCTTTATAAGTTCCTTACACTCAACAAAGATCTTTATAAGTTCCATACACTCAACAGTGCATTATATTTTCTGACACAAGATTCATATTGTTAAGCACATGAAGTATTTTTGTTTATATCAGTGTAGGCAGGTCGTTCATCAGTACAGTATTTACTAGATTTGATATTGAGTTTTTGAGATCTAATTTGTGACTTACCCGTATTGTTAACAAAGTATATTTTTGTGTTTTTAGGAGACTTGACCTACAGTATAATAATATTAACTCTTAGTGTTAATGAAACCCATCACACAGACTGTGCAGAACTGTATTTACTCTTATCTCTCAGTAACCAAATGTGACAATAGTGGCATTTTAAGAAGTACTCTACCAGCTGGCTAAACTTAAGTTACAACAAGTGTCTTTTATGACATTGACACAAGGCTTCTGATAAAGCCCCACTGCCTTCAGCCACAACATTGTTACCTGTAGGAGTTAAGGAGGCCATCATAAGACACAAGGTGAGGTTTGGTGCTGGTGTTAAGTATCTCAACACATGATGTGGTTTGTTCCAGGTTCAAAATTCTTCCTCCTGGAGGAGTGACCAGTGGAGGGGGCAGCAGTGGGTCCAGCAGCAGCAACAGTAATGGTAGTGGAGGCAGTACAGGAGGCTGTAACAGCAGTACCTCATCAGGGTTCCAGACAGGTAGCGGCAGCTCTTCCACAGCACAGAGGTGAGATAACAGCCTCACTTACCATGGTGTTTTGAGTCTTCCTCATCATCTCTTGTGTTTATACTGTACTGTATCTCGCCTTTACATATTGATGCATGTTTTCTTCATACATACATACATACATACATGCATGCATACATGCATACATACATACATACATACATACATACATACATACATACATACATACATACATACATACATACATACATGCATACGTCAGTGAGAAGAATTGTTCAACATTTGGCTCTCCCTACCTGGGTGGTGACCAACATTCCTTTTAGCTACATCTCACTGTATTGTTTTGGGTATTGTTATTAACTAAACAAATTGAATTCGATGAAAACAATTCTTGTTGAATATTGTTATTGATTCTAAAACTGGCTTCTACAACATTGGTTAATTACTATTGCTGGCCAGGTGTTGTGATGTTACAGGTGGTTCAGGGGGAACTTTCAAAGGAGGCCTAAAGGAGGGACCTGTTAAGACTAAATCAATATTGTAGGGTTAGGTTAGGGGTTGTATAGGATCAGGATCTAACCAGTCTATTCTAATACCCTGAATACTCTCATGTTGAGAAGGTATTAATGTATTATTAAACATTGTGCAGTGGGGTATCAAACAGCAGCAGCAGCAGCAGCAGCAACAACAGCAGTAGTAGCAGCAGTGGTGTGAGCAGCGGAGGCGGAGAGAAGAAGACCCTGGCATCTGAAGTGTTGGGGTCGGCAGCCAAGATTCTCAAGTGCGGTGATAGCAAGGAGTCATCGGACAAGCTGGACATGCCTCCCCCTCCCTCCCCTGCCTCCAGTACCTGCTCTGACACAGGTTGTTGTACCAGGCTTTATGTTTTTTCTTGTTCTTCCAGGCTTTAACGTCTTACTTCAAATACAAAGACGTTTGTGTTTTCTCTGATTTTCCTCTTCGTTACAGTGAAACAAGTGTTGCAAAAATGGAAATTAAAATCTGAATTGATTTCTAATGATGCATCAAACTCACAAACTTGGAGACTGTGTAAATGAAAGGTTTACTGTGCATTATTATGAAAATAACGATATTGAATCATAGCCAAAATTATTTTGTTCTGCATTATGTTAAGGTTTGTAAGCTCTAAATTGACCCCCTCCCCTTCAATAGGATCCATAACGTCCCCAGCCTCATACAAGCGAGGTAAGAGACCATTACCTCGTGATGAGATGGAACGATTTGATGAAGAGGAATGGCCTCTGCGTGATGTAATCTTTGTAGAAGACACAAGACCAGTACCTATTGGGGAGGTTCTTGCTGTTGATGGCAATCAGGTATGTTGTAATACCTATTGTTGTCACTGTTGCAAGGCCTAACCCACAGGGCACAGGCTGGATGGAAACAAGAACTACTTAGACTCTTCTATCATTGTCAGTCATTCCCTCTAACTCTATAAGATTGTCACAGGTCAGAGAAGTTCAGGGAAGTTCATTGCTGAAAAGTTCCCATAGGAGCAGATGTTCCTTTGGTGTTAATATTATTGGTGAGAAAACTGAAGAGCTATAATAAACTGGTAGTTCTTTAAGATGAGTCTTACCCGGTTCCATCTCCAGGCATCAGTTAAATGGGGCTTTAGTGTCAACAAACATTCAGTTGAAACTCACATGTTGGAGCAAAGTGTAGTGGTGAAAGAAGGATCTGTGATGAGGTTTTGAAGATTTTTTGCCAAAGAAGAGAAAGTTAATGAGTGAGAAGTGAAGTTTACCGGAGAAATGTTGACAGGTTGCAGTAAGGCTTCTCTCGGTTCAAATATAAATCTTAATTAATTTAGAGAGAAATGTGAGCAAGAAAGATTGTATTTAAACCAAAATCTTGAGAAAAAAGAAAATGAAATGAAGTTTCTATGGGAAAATGTGTATGGAAGGTTAGTCAAAGGGGCTGGTGAATTAATCAAAGAAAGAGTGAAAAAAGACACAAAAATGTGTGTACTGTATTTTTTAAGACCAATGAGTCATATAACAAGTTTTTCTTATTAGGTAAACAGCAATTACAAAAATTTTGAAACATGAAGATCATCTTGGAATATTTTTGATGTGTACTTTATTGCTACATTTTCATATATTTCCCACAGCTTGTCACATCCAGCTCTTGTTCATTATAACAGCTATAGAGCACACAATATATAAAGCTATAATATTATTACTTCATTTATGTATTTTTCTTTGCACATTTTCTTTCTTACTGTGTACTACACCTGTTGGAGTTGATGTAAAAAGATTAGATTTAAAAAGAGAAGAAAAGAAACAGGTGTAAGAGGAGTTATTGTGATGCATGACTCACAGTTTTCTCACCCATATAAAGTTAAGATGTGTCATTTATGTCAATGGTTCAACAGGTGGTTGTGGTGCCCCAGACAAAGGAAGGTAAAGGTAACTTGCGTGTCATCCACCGTGATCAGCTGCAGGTGATCCGTGCCGGGGGGAACCCTCGTGTCCCCGACTGTTACCAGAAGACCCCCAAACGTATCCCAGTGACGGAACAAGGCCAGATCCTCACTGTGGCCGTGGATGGCAGAGGTAAAGTCTCTTGTTTTATAAAGTTAACAGCTGAGAAATAGTCAAATTGTGGCTCTCATGTCTCTTTACAACACCACCTTCTATTTGACCAAAAATTGCTTCACCATTCTTGGACTCAATGGTTACTGTACAGTACCTGTCCAAGAGTACAATTCACAAGCTCTCCAACTTTTCCTTTTTTTTACATCTCTCAGTTCTTAAATGGAATGAACTTGATTGACTCCATCATCCTTACCAATTATATTATCAAAAGTAATGTGTGTCATCTATGATGCCTCCATCTATGGGTAGCTGTCACACCGCCCATCACTACTTCCCTCCCTTGTTTTCTTTAAAGTGTTGTTCCATTTTTCCCTCCCAAACATATAAGTATTTCCTCTTTACCCAATGCTGCCTCTGTACTGTACTCTCCTGTCTGTACACCCTCTGTACTGTACTCTCCTGTCTGTACACCCTCTGTACTGTACTCTCCTGTCTGTACACCCTCTGTACTGTACTCTCCTGTGTCTGTACACCCTCTGTACTGTACTCTCCTGTCTGTACACCCTCTGTACTGTACTCTCCTGTCTGTACACTGCACTGTACTGTACTCCTGTCTGTACACTGCACTGTACTGTACTCTCCTGTCTGTACACCCTCTGTACTGTACTCTCCTGTCTGTACACCCTCTGTACTGTACTCTCCTGTCTGTACACTGCACTGTACTGTACTCTCCTGTCTGTACACTGCCTGTACTGTACTCTCCTGTCTGTACACCCTCTGTACTGTACTCTCCTGTCTGTACACCCTCTGTACTGTACTCCTGTCTGTACACCTCTTGTACTGTACTCTCCTGTCTGTACACCCTCCTGTCTGTACACCCTCTGTACTGTTCTCTCCTGTCTGTACACCCTCTGTACTGTACTCTCCTGTCTGTACACCCTCTGTACTGTACTCTCTGTCTGTACACCCTTTGTACTGTACTCTCCTGTCTGTACACCCTTTGTACTGTACTCTCCTGTCTGTACACCCTCTATACTGTACTCTCCTGTCTGTACACCCTCTGTACTGTACTCCTGTTTGTACACCCTCTGTTCTGTACTCTCTTGCCTCTGTACACCCTCTACTGTACTGTACTGTCCTGCCTCTGTACTGTACTCTCCTGTCTGTACACCCTCTGTACTGTGCTCTCCTGTCTGTACACCCTCTGTACTGTACTCTCCTGTCTGTACACCCTCTGTACTGTACTCCCTGTTTGTACACACCCTCTGTTCTGTAATTTCTTGCTCTGTACACCTCTACTGTACTGTACTGTCCTGCCTCTGTACTGTACTCTCTCCTGTCTGTACACCCTCTGTACTGTACTCCTGTTTGTGTACACCCCTCTGTTCTGTACTCTCTTGCCTCTGTACAATCTCTACTGTACTGTACTGTCCTGCCTCTTGTACTGTACTCTCCTGTCTGTACACCCTCTGTACTTTACTCTCTTGCCTCTGTACACCCTCTACTGTACTCTCCCTGTCTGTACACCCTCTGTACTGTACTCCTGTCTGTACACCCTCTGTACTGTGTTTCCCTCCTGTCTGTACACACCCTCTGTACTGTGCTCTCTCCTGTCTGTACACCCTCTGTACTGTACTCTCCTGTCTGTACACCCTCTGTACTGTGCTCTGCCTCTGTACTGTACTCTTGCCTCTGTACACCCTCTATACTGTACTCTCTTGCCCCTGTACACCCTCTACTGTACTGTCCTGCCTCTGTACTGTACTCTCCTCTCTGTACACCCTCTGTACTGTACTCTCCTCTCTGTACACCCTCTGTACTGTACTCTCTTGCCTCTGTACACCCTCTACTGTACTGTCCTGCCTCTGTACTGTACTCTCCTGTCTGTACACCCTCTGTGCCTGTACTCTCCCTGTCTGTACACCCTCTGTACTGTCTCTCCAGTCTGTACACTCTCTGTACTCTCCCTGTCTCTGTACACCTTCTTCTGTACTCTCCTGTCTCTGTACTGTGCTCTCCTGTGTGCACTCTGTGCTGTACTCTCCTGTGTGCACTCTGTGCTGCTCTCCCTGTCTCTGTGTGTACTCTCTCTGTCTGTACACCCTCTGTGCTGTACTCTCTCTCCTGTCTGTACAGCCTCTGTGCCTGTGCCTCCCTCTGTCTGTACACCCTCTGTACTCCTGTCTGTACACCTCTGTGTGTGCTCTCCTGTCTGTACACCCTCTGCGCTCTCCTGTCTGTACACCCTCTGTACTGTACTCTCCTGTCTCTGTACACCCTCTGTACTGTACTCTCCTGTCTGTACACCCTCTGTACTGTACTCTCCTGTCTGTACACCCTCTGTACTGTACTCTCCTGTCTCTGTACACCTTCTTCTGTACTCTCCTGTCTCTGTACTGTACTCTCCTGTGTGCACTCTGTACTGTACACCCTCTACTGTCCTGCTTCCCTCTACTGTCTGTACACCCCTCTACTGTCTTACACCCTCTACTGTCTGTACACCCCTCTGTGCCTGTACTCTCCCCTGTCTGTACACCCTCTGTACTGTGCTCTCCTGTCTTGTGCACCCTCTGTGCACATGCTCTCCTGTCTCTGTACACCCTCTGTGCTGTACTCTCCTGTCTGTACACCCTCTGTGCTGTGCTCTCCCTGTCTGTACACCCTCTGTGCTGTACTCTCCTGTCTCTGTACACCCTCCTGTGCTGTACTCTCCTGTCCTTAGTACTGCCCTCTGTGTCACTGTACTCTCCTGTCTGTACACCCTCTGTGCTGTACTCTCCTGTCTGTACACCCTCTGTACACTGTACTCTCTGTCTGTACACCCTCTGTACTGTGCTCTCCCTGTCTCTCTGTACACCCTCTGTACTGTACTCCTGTCTGTACAGCCTCTGTGCTGTACTCTCCTGTCTTACACCCTCTGTACTGTACTCTCCTGTCTCTGTACACCTTCTTCTGTACTCTCCTGTCTCTGTACTGTACTCTCCTGTGTGCACTCTGTACTGTAATCTCCTGTCTCTGTACACCCTCTACTGTACTGTCCTGCCTCTGTACTGTACTCTCCTGTCTGTACACCCTCTACTGTACTCTCTTGCCTCTACACCCTCTACTGTCTGTACACCCTCTGTACTGTACTCTCCTGTCTGTACACCCTCTGTACTGTACTCTCCTGTCACTGTACACCCTCTGTACTGTACTCTCCTGTGTCTGTACACCCTCTGTACTGTACTCTGTACATTCCTCCCATGTACAGTACAGTATTGTTTCCTGAAATTTCACTCTACTGTACACAATTCTTTCTCAGGATTGCTCCCAAATACTATAAATCTTTGAACTTGTTTCAGTTTAATATCCTTCTTAAGTTTACCTGTTAATTTACTAGGATTTATATCCTATATTGGGTTACCTAAACGCTCCTTGCAAACTTGTTCTTCTTCAAAGTCATTATATCACGGTTTCTCTTTCCTTCCCTCACTCCTTTCATAGTTACTCACCGCCTTGTGATGTCTCTGTCACACGCACACGTAACCAGTAGTCTCTCATCATGTTCCATATATAGTTTTACTCCTGCCATAGTCACCCTCATTACCTTCACTACACCATCCATAAATATCTTGGGAACAATACACATCCCTGCCTCACTTTAAGGTACTCTATGGCTTGTTACTCTCATAGAATGTCTTCACTGCATCTTCCAGCTTTCTTTCTCTTGTTCCATCCTGTCATATTCCTGATGCTGTACATTTACCAGTTTTCTCCAATATGTTTTTCTATAAACCTTTATACTGAAACACTTGTGTAAATCCTCCCTGTTTTTCACCTATCTTTACTTATTACTGTACCGTCATTTTTCTCGCCCTCTCACTTAGAACCTGACCTTGTTCTTTCCTTACTGTCTTTCTTCTTATATATTATTACAGTACAGTACAGTGTTGTCTTAGTTAGAACTCCTCACTTGGTACTTCCCTGTTTTCTCTACCATCTCAATTACAACATGTAAGATTGTCATTATTTTTTCCTCTCTAAATTTTATTTTCTTTGCCTTAATACTTAACAGTCATGGATCTTTTCCCTCATTATAATTGCTTCTGCATTTCCTCCGTCAGTAGCTACATCAAGTTCCCAACCTCACCTTCTCCAATCCACAATATGAAATTTTTGCCCTTGTTTCATCACTTGTAAGTTGAGGGTAGGAGAGCCAAGGAAAGGCAGGGAGTGGGATGGATGAGTGAAATTTAAAAACTGGCTCCCCAGAGAGATACAAAATCTTGAAGGATTGGTAAAAACAATCCAAGAACATTTAGAGTGGAGGACTGTGGTCGCCAACCCTCAGATATAAGGATGGTAGTACAGTACAGTATTTTATTCATGAAGTAATTTTGTATAATATTTAACAGTTGGTTGTTTATCATTAGGCCAGAGTTTCAAGGTGTGCACTTAGCAATATTAGGCTTCTTTTCATGGTGTTTTATTTTTACAGGGATTCATGCCATTGTTAAGAATGGCAGCCGGTTGACGTACGTGATCTACAACCTCAGTTCAGGGAAGGCCGAGCAGGAGTGTGTTTTCCCCACTGACAGTACAGCATTTATGGGTTCTGAGCCTTCTAGTATTTCTCTCACCATTACTGGGGAGGTGAGTTTACTAGTTGGTCCACGGCCTACACAGATGAGGGCCATGGTGGGTGTACAGTACAGTACATTATAGTACAGTACGGTACAGTACTACCATGACTGCTTGTTATTAATATTTCTCTTACAAATGAATAGAGGTTGTGTATAAAATTTGTAAGACAAGTTAATTTTATCAGTTGTTATATAACAATCTTTGAGTTGTTGTTTAATGTAAGTACAGTACAGTACAGTTTGTATCATTAGTTAAACACTTTTTTTTACATACTTCAGTTAGTACAGAAGATGACCTATTTTTCATTGGGAATTTGTAAATTTTCTGTATAAATATTTTGTTGACAAATATCTGTACAGTACAGTACAGTGTATCCAACTTTTAATAAACTGATCAAAATGTGAAAGTAATGACTTGTTTTAATTTGCAGAGTGAGAATGTGGGTATCCTGCGTGATGGCAACAGCACCATATACCCACTGAGTAAAGACTGTGTGGACTCCATCAAGGATCCTCACTGGCCTGACCTGCCTCCAGTGTCCTGCTTGGGAGTGGCCACGCATTTCCTACACGGGGCGGGCGCACATCAAAAAAACCACGTTGCCTTGCTCGTGTTGGCACTGAAGACCCAGACTCTGATGCCTAAGATCCTGCGCTGTGATCCCGAGGGCGTGAGGCAGGTCTTGGCACTGATTGAAAATGATAACCCCAGTAAGTGATGCGGCCATTTGATATATCGCTTCAGTGACACTGAATTAATTCATTACACAGGATTGTATTAACTGTATTTTATGAGAATGAGTGACAGCATATAATTAAAGTGTGTGTGTGTGTTACTCTTGTTTCAGCTCACCTGTACAATACAGGGCCAGGTTGTGTAATAGAAATGGAAGAAAGGGGAGGGTAGTAATGGTGGTAATACAGGGGGGTAGTAATGGTGATAAGATGGAGGGGGGTAATAATAATGGAAGGTTATCAGTAAGACAAAGAAAAGGAGGAGATAAACTGTGTAATGAAAACTTTAATATTGGTGATAAATGGTTTATGCCCTGAAATACGGTCAATAATTTCTTGTTGTACACATTTGTTCATGTGGTGGGATTGAATTGTATATTTTTTTAAGTAAGATGTTCAAATTTGCTTTTTTAAAATTTGTCTCTCTTGTAGATGGTGTGTCAAGTTTAACAACAGAAGCAATCGTGGAGGAGAAGTGTGATGGAAACCGCAATATTCTTCATGCTTGTATCTCCACCTGTTGCCCGGTCACAAGTAAAGAGACAGAGGGAGAGTCAGTGTTAGAAAAAGATCCAATATTGGGTAGCTTTGCTTGGCCCCCAAGTTCCTCAGACACACTGAGTGACACAGCCAGTGCTGCCGGTCCAGATGATGACCTCATGACTCCGTCTTCTTCCAAGACCACTCCAGGACCTAGCATGCCCACCTTGGGATCGTCCGACCCAACGGAACGCAAATCCTACTCTTTAACTATACTGCGAACTATCTGTGACAGTCCCGCACTGACGCCACACTTGCGTAGCATGTTAACAGCCCGCGATTCAAACGGTTTTACTCCGTTCATGCTGGCCGTTTCAGGCCGAGCGTACCAGGCAGCCCTAATCCTCTTTGATGTGATTCACCGCGTGGCACACGACAGTGCTATGGATGCCGAAAGTGAGCGCCGGGCCATCACCCAAATGATATTTCCTCGTGGCAGCAACCCCGATGACTCTCCTCTTCACGTGCTCTGTTATAATGACACGTGCTCCTTCACTTGGACAGGCGCCGAGCACATCAACCAGGATATCTTTGAGTGCCGAACTTGTGGACTTGTCGGCTCCTTGTGCTGCTGTACGGAGTGTGCGAGAGTTTGCCACAAGGGTCACGATTGCAAGCTCAAGAAGACTTCCCCAACTGCTTACTGTGATTGCTGGGAAAAGTGCAAATGTAAAGCCCTCAAATCTGGACATCAAACAGCTCGCTTTGACCTTCTCTCTCGCCTCATAACAGAAACTGATCTGGTGAACGTAGCCAATGGCAGGGGGGAGAATCTTCTCTTATTTCTTGTACAAACAGTTGGACGCCAAGTGACGGAACAGAAGCAGTGGTCAAGGTGAGCTTCCTCGTGTTGTGTTTATTGTTGCCACTTGTCTTTGAGTACATGTAGGAATACCATGAATTAAAATCTGTTGATATGGTCTTGCCTTAGGAGCTGGTCATGACTGAAGTAAAGTGTTGAAGTATTTCCTGGAGTACAATTATAACTTATGGTATTAGGACAGTTATTAGCTTGACCTTTGTCACTTTCAAATGATTACTGCATTTGTTAATCTCATTGTATGAGTATTTGAGTTGTATGGGGAGGTGAGTGGTATGCATTAAGGCAGTGACAAAGGAAAATTGTGTCTCATAGTGGAAGCAGATGGCAACCTATCTGTTATTACAACTCAGTGAACAAATTGAAATCATGTAAAACATTGTCAGCAGTTTTCTTGTATGGTGAGGATGAATAGATATGTTAATCCCTTGTCAGTTTCATGAGAGGGGATTTAAAGAATTGCCATCCATTTGTTCATAGCTATTTCTCTTCAAAATTTTTAATGACATTTAATACTCAGAAACCACTGAAGATTATTTTTGTCAAACCAGGAAATGTACAGCAGGTTTCCTATGAAAAATGCCCAGCTGTTATGTTTTCTTCTGATAACTCGGTACTGTACAGTACTTATAAACCACTGGAGACGTTCTCAGTAAATTTGGCTAAACATTAGCCACCAGTATCTATTGTCTGAGGTGATGACCATATGTAACCTAGCCTCTACACTGCCTCATCACATCACATGTCCTGTCGTCTTTAGCTCCTCTGTACACTATTATATATTTTCATCTTTCTCTTCAAACACAACTGTTATGTTGTCTCTGTACACCCTTGTTACTTTCCTCTCCTCTGGAACCCAGACCATGTTGAATACCTTTTATTAGGGTAGAGTTTCTGAACAGTATGGTGCTATAGGTCACCACAGTAGAACAACTAAACTTTTAAAAATATGCTTTTGTATGGTGCACTCTTGATTATGGCACTTCAATCTTGGTGCACACCAGGGGCATCATTCAAGTGAGACATTTGGCATCAATCTTGTAGTGGTGAGATTTACATCTGTATACTGTGCTCATGTGAATGGTTATTATCTTGTTCTGGTTGTAAGGTTGTGTTAGGTCTCCAGCTACTTTCATCTTTGGTGCAGAAAAAACTCCAAATGGGTCCAAAATGGCAGTTGTCCTGGAGGGCCCAGGTCCCTTGGTAGCAGGTGACGGACATTAGTGCACACTTAATTATGTTAAATCTGGTGCACACTTTTAATTTGAGAGTTGCACATTCTTGAGTTTTGGAATTTTGAGTTTTGACTGTAATAATAGTACAGTATATACTGTACTGTACTGTAATATATTTGTGATGGATAAGCATCAGGCTCTGTCCCCCACCATAGTACAGTACTTGCTGGTATTATCATATGTGAGAAATAATTTTGATCATAACATTTTCTTTTTAAGTGTTCATTTGGCTTAATATATATTGTTTATATTGTCAGATGCCGTTCGTCATCCTCCACCCGTAAGAACCCTTTGTCAGACGCGGTTAATATGGAGGTTCCCGACCATGACCTGGAACCACCCAAGTTCAGCCGCCGTGCCCTGGAACGCCTTTTAAATGATTGGGCGGCAGTGAGGGCCATGATCATGACCGGTCACAAGGAGGAGAACCCCCCAACTACTGCCTCCACTGATGAAATAAACTTTATGCAGTACCAGGGCCACACCACACACCTTGACAAGTTTACCTACTGTTTACTTGTTAAATTAGCAACTCAGGTAACTTTATGCAGTACCAGGGCCACACCACACACCTTGACAAGTTTACTTTCAACTCTGGTAAATTAACAGTAAGAGTGTAGTATTTATATGTGAAGAAATTTGTTCAAAATTTTGTTTCATCATAGAGTTTGAGGAACATAATAGGGTTCTTTAGAGTACCTGCCAGTACTGTACTGTATTGTACTCTACTCTACTCTATTGTACTGTACTGTATTGTATTGTACTCTACTCTATTGTACTGTATTGTACTGTCCTGTATTGTATTGTACTGTACTGTATTGTATTGTACTGTACTCTACTGTACTGTATTGTACTGTCCTGTATTGTATTGTACTGTACTGTATTGTACTGTACTCTACTGTACTGTATTGTACTGTACTGTATTGTACTGTCCTGTATTGTATTGTACTGTACTGTACTGTATTGTACTGTACTCTATTGTACTGTATTGTACTGTCCTGTATTGTACTGTACTGTACTGTACTGTACTGTACTGTATTGTACTGTACTCTATTGTACTGTACTCTATTGTACTGTACTGTATTGTACTGTATTGTACTGTACTGTAAGTACTGAACTGTATTGTACTGAACTGTATTGTACTGTACTCTACTGTACTGTATTGTAGTGTACTGTATTGTACCATGCTGTATTGTACTGTACTCTATTATACTGTACTGTATTGTACTCTATTTTACTGTACTCTATTGTACTGTACTCTATTGTACTGTACTATACTGTATTGTACTGTACTGTTCTGTACTCTATTGTACTGCACTCTACTGATCTCTACTGTACTGTACTCTACTGTACATTTCTGTACTGTATTGTACTGTACTCTACTGTATTGTACTGTACTCTACTGTACTGTACTCTACTGTATTGTGCTGTACTCTACTGTACTCTATTGAGTCACATATACTAAAGCTTTGTGGAATGACTTATAATGTGGTGTACAACTTCTCATGTTCCCAGAATTCCTTGGCTGACTTACTGCAATTTATGGAGAATTTTCCAAGTTTATAAAGAGTTTTAATTGTTGCATTTACATGTTTGCTTCTGGGGTATACATCACCTTCAGTCATTTTCTTCTTCCAGGTCGAACATCGTAACCTGAAGTTAAAACAGTTAATAAATAGCGACGACGACGAACGTAAGATGATCGCCGACACGATGGTGACCGCACTCATTAATACACTCATTAGAGAACTTCACAATGATGCTGTTCCTGGACGCAAGCAAGAGGCAGAGAAGGTAACGGCATCTTCACAGTACAGGAAGTTAACACTCACTTGACAATGTTTGTCCTCCCTGTATGTGTTACATAATGTTTGACCACTCGGGTAATATTTTCAGAGACATTGAACAATATAGTGCTTCTCTTTTCATAAATAACCACCATATTTGATAAAGTCTTCTTTTTCTTTATGCCTCTTTCTTCTATACAGTAGTACCCCGATTTACGCCATCAATTGAACCCACAGGGTACCGCAGAAAGTGAAGTGAAAACCGCGTAAAGTGAACAACAGAACATATGGGATTAATTCCAATAGAGACTGGCCCGACCCCCAAACTCCACTTTTTCCGACACAATACCTATGTTGTAATAAAAATAACATCTAAATTAATATTTAAGAGAAATACAGTCGCCAGGTTAATGTCCATTCAAATAATGGACTCAAATCCCCCCCCGACCCCCTCTTCCCAGCTCACTAGCTCCTACCTCTCTGAGAAATGTTTGGGTGAAACCACTAGATTTTAATGTATAGTAATAAATAATACCTCAGACTAAAGTTAGGATAATATAATTGACATTTCTGGATTCCTTGCAGGTCAGGGAATATTTTGAATGTAAACTTCATATATTTTGCACAAAAGATAAAATATTTGCTTTGTGTAAACCAAATTATTACATTAGATCTAAAATTTGTATGTCTAATGCAAAATCCATGATGTTTATATTCAAAATGATCATCATATTGTAAGAATTCTAGCAATGTAAATTATATTCTGGCAGGGTAATTTGTATGAATTTTATGAGCTGAATAAAAAAAATAAAAAATAAATTATACTTCACCTCGTATATGAGTAGATGCACCTCAGAAAGTGAAAGTCCATCCGGTAAATAGGTAAATATCTATCGCGGAAAGTGAAAGCCGTGTAAAGCGGTAATACTGTACAGTAAATTGTCTTGTTTATCTCTACCAGAATATATCTTTTGTATCATTAGTAAATCATGTTTCCACAGGTGGCTCGAAGGTTTATAGCTTCAGTGGTGCGGATATTTGTCATCCTGGCCATAGAGATGATTCCCAACGTCAGCAAGAAGAAGCCGGGCAGTTCTTACACACAGCCACTTGCCAAATGTATAAAGGTTTGTATTATACACACAGTCATTAGTTAGATACACAAAGGTCTGTATTATACACACAGTCATTAGTTAGATACACAAAGGTCTGTATTATACACACAGTCATTAGTTAGATACACAAAGGTCTGTATTATACACACAGTCATTAGTTAGATACACAAAGGTCTGTATTATACACACAGTCATTAGTTAGATACACAAAGGTCTGTATTATACACACAGTCATTAGTTAGATACACAAAGGTCTGTATTATACACACAGTCATTAGTTAGATACACAAAGGTCTGTATTATACACACAGTCATTAGTTAGATACACAAAGGTCTGTATTATACACACAGTCATTAGTTAGATACACAAAGGTCTGTATTATACACACAGTCATTAGTTAGATACACAAAGGTCTGTATTATACACACAGTCATTAGTTAGATACACAAAGGTCTGTATTATACACACAGTCATTAGTTAGATACACAAAGGTCTGTATTATACACACAGTCATTAGTTAGATACACAAAGGTCTGTATTATACACAGTCATTAGTTAGATACACAAAGGTCTGTATTATACACACAGTCATTAGTTAGATACACAAAGGTCTGTATTATACACACAGTCATTAGTTAGATACACAAAGGTCTGTATTATACGCACAGTCATTAGTTAGATACACAAAGGTCTGTATTATACACACAGTCATTAGTTAGATACAATACACAAAGATTTATGCAAACACAAGTGCTCAAAACGTTCTGGTAACTATTTTTGCTATTCAGGGAATTCTTACCAACAAAACAAACATGAGAATTGAGTTTGCATATTTGCACTGTCCAAATTACTCACTTGAGTTGCTGATAAAACCCACCATCTCTTTTATGTCTAAATTCACTGACCATATTTAGATATTTGGGATAATATGACGAGGGTAGAGTCATGAGGGTTGTGGTGTACCTTCTCTGGGATAACAGCCATGTTGTTGGGGACCCTCTTGTGATTCTGGTTCTCAGTCTAAACAGTCTGTGTGCATGGCTTCTGTCTTTTCGTTATTAGGATCCCTATTAAAAGTCGCTGCCGTTGTACTAAAAGACAAGATAGCTGCAACACAACCTCTTGTTTTCTCCTCTGACTTCTTAACAGTTCTAACTATTGAATCATTAACTCTTATTTGTGGGTTAAATGTGCAAAAAACAGATGGTCAGTACTGTACTGTGTGTAGATAATGAGAGAGAAGTGTTTATAAACAAAGCAGTGAGGAGTGTTGCCTACCCCACCCATCTGCTCACTTACCGTTGACAAGTGAAGTACTGTAGATGGAATCATACAGTGATGGGTGATCACCATTAGTTATCTGCATTACCCGGTGTTGTACTACAGGTATGAGACTATTTATCTGGCGTGCTTGGGACGAGGGTTGCTGGGTACTTTTTTTTCTGATTTTTGAAGCACCCCAAAATTATGAGTTAAAAAATAACCATAACATGCCTTAAACCTCACAGGTGGGTAATGGTTGGTAATGCAGTACACCTGCTCATTCCTGGAATTACTTTTGGCGCTCAATTTAAATAATTTGTTGCAGAACATAACCGGTTTTTGGAGTATTCTGGATACCGGGAGACCAAATAAATGGTTCCATACCTGTACACGTAGGGCTTCTGGCAAGTGAACATTGTTATTACAGAAACACAGCCGTGTACAGGTACAGTACAGTACAGTACTGTAGTAATAAGTTAACTACCCATATATAAACTAAATCATGCTCAGTAAATGTGAGTCAGGTGAGACTTGTGTATCTTCTTACAGGTGTTTGAATCAGTGATTCCTGTAGCTGTGACCGAGCTGTGTGATGCTGCTGATGCTCTCATGCTGCCTGTGCGCCTCAACTATGTCAAGCCCACAGCACCGTTCCCCCTCACTTCAACTCATGTTGATGCTAATCATGGTTGCAAGGTCTGTGCTTTGTTCTTATTATGAACAGATATACTTTGTCACTTTATATCCATCTAGAAATCTTTTGTTTTTCCTGTGTTATCCAGTGAGTCTCCTCCAACCTCATAGCTGGGTCAGTTATGTAGAATTTTGTAGTGTTTATAAATAGTTATTTTAGTGGAGTTAATATATATGTATGTGCTGCACTTATTGTATAAGTAAAACAGAAGACAATTGGTTGGCTTTACATTGGGAATTACCTTTAGAGTTTCAAACTGTTGCTTGTTAAGAGGTGTCTTATGGTTGTGTTAATAATACATGTGACAATACATGTACAGTACAGTATTTGGGTTAAGAGATCACAGATAAAACAAGTAGTGAATCTAATGAGCTTGGCAGTTCCATGTAAAGAATATTATAATAACTGAAACTGGTCGTGTAACCTTGACAGGAGATGTTTGAAGTTGAGCCCCTTCAGCGACACCAGCAGAGGGTTGGTGGAAGTATTGTAGATCAATCTCCTGCGTCTGGCAGTGGCAGTGGAGGAGACAGTGGAAGTGGAAATGTCGGAGGAGGAGAAGAAGTGGAGGAAGCTGGGGAGGAGGAGGTAGCACCCAGTATGTCTCGCCCTAGTCCGGCTCCTGTGGCCAGACCAAGGAGGGCTCGGCCAGACCACATCCTCCCTCCTCAGGTGGATGACCATGACAACGAAGGAGGTAGTGAACGCGACGATGCCAACGAACGCTCCGAACAAGACGGAGACGGAGGTGGCGAAGTAGAGGGCGGAGAATCCGACATGGAACTAGACCTCCTGGCAGAGTCAGACAGCGACAGTGACGACAATCAATCTGCTGTTGACAACACTTCGGCACAGAGGTCCGTGCAGACCGGTGCCACCGCTGGCAGTGACGGAGAGGATGACTCCGGGGAATCTTCTCCCGGGGAAGACGAGGATGACGAAAGTGAAGCAGCAGAGACTGATGAATTTGATTCAGGAGAGCTGTTCTCTGATGAGCAGCTAGAGAGGCGGGGCAACACCTCATCTACCGCACGTAACATTGCTCCACACAATCTGCAGTGGGCAGTAAGGAACCCCAGGGACAGCAGCTCACGCTCAGGAGGCACCGCAGGAGGACCCACTGCGACTGGTTCCTCCAGCACAACATCAAGTGGCTTAATCTACATTGACCCAACTTCCCTAAGACACGGTCCAACATCCAACTCTACGGTGACCCCCTCATCTCACGAGCCAGTCAGTCTGGCCACCACCAATAACACACTAGCCAGAGCCTTCACCATTGTGGTGAGACAAATGAGTTCCCTTCTCAGTTTGGCATGTGATGTAGTGAGAGATGGAGGCCTTACCTCAAGGACGCCTGGAGGGGGGGGCATCCCCGGCAGTAGTGGCAGCAGCACCACTACCACTCAGATGTGCCTCACACCCACCATCATTGCTGCTCTTCTCAAGCAGGTAGATGCACGCCTTCAGCCGACCTGGGACTGGTTACTCAGTCTCATGGATTCAACTGAATCACAGCTCAGGTGGGTAATGTTTCTTGTTTGTACAGTATACTTATGTTCTATATCAACTTTTACATTATTCACAAGCTTTCTCTGGCAGACTAATACAGGGGGGCCCCCAAATTCGCGGGGGTTAGGTTTTCAAAATGGCCGCGAATAGCCAAATTCACGAATAACATTTGCTGACGAGGGGGGGGGGTTGCTACATTTTTACTTGTGTACAAAGAAATGTATATTCTCTTAATATGTTTGCCCTTAGGACACTTATTTCTTTTACCTGTAAACACACACACACGAAACACATACAAATGAATAATATTGGGAAATACTCTCACAAATAATCTGAAACAAATTTATTAAAAATGTGATATACCGAGAGTGACTCCGAACATTACCTGACGGGGACAGAGCTTGACCCACGTAGGTGTGAGGCGTCAGTTGTGTCTCAGCACAATATAACTTACATTGCTGGAATCCTTGTAAGACAGCGAATAATTTGCATATATACATCATATATTTTGCACAAGGGATAGAAATTTGAGTACAGGTACACATTTTTCAACTCTTATTGTGGGGTAACTTTCTACATTTATTTTTACTCATTTACATTCACACACCATCCTAAATGCATACACTATTGTGAAAAAGGTAAAAGAAGTAATTGTCCTAAGGGCAAAACTGTACTGTACTCAAATATTAAAATTTTTATGTCTAGTGCAAACTATAGCATGTTTTTATTCAAATTAATCACTATCCTATAAGGATTCCGTCAATGTAAGTTATGTTCTCCCAGGTCAATTCATTGACATTTTATAAGCTAAAAACTTAAACTCCCTCTTTATGACTGATAACGACATCTGGGTCAGTAATCTCCGCGCCGGCTGGTCAGTACCTCACCCCCTCCTCCCCCTCAACCATACTCTCGCCTCCGCCTTACTGTCTCCATGACAAATGGCTCCCTGTCCCAGCCGCAAAAATGACGGCAATTTTAAAACTACTCTCAGACATTCTTGGGTACATCCAGGGTGACATCCGCGAATAATAGAAGACTGCGAAATAAAAACCCGCGAACTTGGAGCTCCCTGTACTGTACTTGCTCATACAAAGAATTTCTCTCACACCATTGTTGTTGTTGATAATAGTAAGGTTATTCCGCACTGAAGGAGTTCTTATTATAACACTTGTGTATAGATAATTTGATATAAACTTTCATAGTAAAGATGCCTGTAACATGGATGATATATGATGTGAGATAAACTTAGATAATTGACTGAATAAAGAATGATCATGAGAGACATGTATGTAAGTAAGGTGAAGAACACTGAAAAGATGCTCATTGGTAGAGCATTCGCCTCAAGTGAATATTACAGGGTTTGAACCCTAGAGTGGAGGACTTGGTATATACAGTACACTAACTAACTCACCCTGGCTAGAGTGGAGGACTTGGTATATACAGTACACTAACTAACTCACCCTGGCTAGAGTAGAGGACTTGGTATATACAGTACACTAACTAACTCACCCTGGCTAGAGTGGAGGACTTGGTATATACAGTACACTAACTAACTCACCCTGGCTAGAGTAGAGGACTTGGTATATACAGTACACTAACTAACTCACCCTGGCTAGAGTAGAGGACTTGGTATATACAGTACACTAACTAACTCACCCTGGCTGGAGTGGAGGACTTGGTATATACAGTACACTAACTAACTCACCCTGGAGTGGAGGACTTGGTATATACAGTACACTAACTAACTCACCCTGGCTAGAGTGGAGGACTTGGTATATACAGTACACTAACTAACTCACCCTGGCTAGAGTGGAGGACTTGGTATATACAGTACACTAACTAACTCACCCTGGCTGGAGTGGAGGACTTGGTATATACAGTACACTAACTAACTCACCCTGGCTGGAGTGGAGGACTTGGTATATACAGTACACTAACTAACTCACCCTGGCTAGAGTAGAGGACTTGGTATATACAGTACACTAACTAACTCACCTGGCTAGAGTGGAGGACTTGGTATATACAGTACACTAACTAACTCACCCTGGCTAGGTGGAGGGACTTGGTATATACAGTACACTAACTAACTCACCCTGGCTAGAGTGGAGGACTTGGTATATACAGTACACTAACTAACTCACCCTGGCTAGAGTGGAGGACTTGGTATATACAGTACACTAACTAACTCACCCTGGCTGGAGTGGAGGACTTGGTATATACAGTACACTAACTAACTCACCCTGGCTAGAGTGGAGGACTTGGTATATACAGTACACTAACTAACTCACCCTGGCTGGAGTGGAGGACTTGGTATATACAGTACACTAACTAACTCACCCTGGCTGGAGTAGAGGACTTGGTATATACAGTACACTAACTAACTCACCCTGGCTGGAGTGGAGGACTTGGTATATACAGTACACTAACTAACTCACCCTGGCTGGCTGGTACACTAACTAACTCACCCAGCTAGAGTGGAGGACTTGGTATATACAGTACACTAACTAACTCACCCTGGCTGGAGTGGAGGACTTGGTATATACAGTACACTAACTAACTCACCCTGGCTAGAGTAGAGGACTTGGTATATACAGTACACTAACTAACTCACCCTGGCTGGAGTGGAGGACTTGGTATATACAGTACACTAACTAACTCACCCTGGCTGGAGTAGAGGACTTGGTATATACAGTACACTAACTAACTCACCCTGGCTAGAGTGGAGGACTTGGTATATACAGTACTAGCTCACCCTGGCTGGAGTGGAGGACTGGTATATACAGTACTAACTAACTCACTGGCTGGAGTGGAGGACTTGGTATATACAGTACACTAACTAACTCACCCTGGCTGGAGTGGAGGACTTGGGCATATACAGTACACTAACTAACTCACCTGGCTAGAGTAGAGGACTTGGTATATACAGTACACTAACTAACTCACCCTGGCTGGAGTGGAGGACTTGGTATATACAGTACACTAACTAACTCACCCTGGCTAGAGTAGAGGACTTGGTATATACAGTACACTAACTAACTCACCCTGGCTAGAGTAGAGGACTTGGTATATACTGTACACTAACTAATTCACCCTGGCTAGAGTGGAGGACTTGGTATATACAGTACACTAACTAACTCACCCTGGCTAGAGTGGAGGACTTGGTATATACAGTACACTAACTAACTCACCCTGGCTAGAGTGGAGGACTTGGTATATACAGTACACTAACTAACTCACCCTGGCTGGAGTGGAGGACTTGGTATATACAGTACACTAACTAACTCACCCTGGCTGGAGTGGAGGACTTGGTATATACAGTACACTAACTAACTCACCCTGGCTAGAGTAGAGGACTTGGTATATACAGTACACTAACTAACTCACCCTGGCTAGAGTGGAGGACTTGGTATATACAGTACACTAACTAACTCACCCTGGCTAGAGTAGAGGACTTGGTATATACAGTACACTAACTAACTCACCCTGGCTAGAGTAGAGGACTTGGTATATACAGTACACTAACTAATTCACCCTGGCTAGAGTGGAGGACTTGGTATATACAGTACACTAACTAACTCACCCTGGCTAGAGTGGAGGACTTGGTATATACAGTACACTAACTAACTCACCCTGGCTAGAGTGGAGGACTTGGTATATACAGTACACTAACTAACTCACCCTGGCTGGAGTGGAGGACTTGGTATATACAGTACACTAACTAACTCACCCTGGCTAGAGTGGAGGACTTGGTATATACAGTACACTAACTAACTCACCCTGGCTAGAGTGGAGGACTTGGTATATACAGTACACTAACTAACTCACCCTGGCTAGAGTGGAGGACTTGGTATATACAGTACACTAACTAACTCACCCTGGCTAGAGTGGAGGACTTGGTATATACAGTACACTAACTAACTCACCCTGGCTAGAGTGGAGGACTTGGTATATACAGTACACTAACTAACTCACCCTGGCTAGAGTGGAGGACTTGGTATATACAGTACACTAACTAACTCACCCTGGCAAATTCCATACTAAAAGTTGAACACTGTTGGGTGTCTATTCTAATGGTGTAACAACCCTTCCGTGGACTAGGGGGTGGAGTAACCCACTAGCTTCGCAGCTGCCCGGCCACACAGTATCAGGGCAGGAAACATTATAAAAAAGTATATGTACTGTAATGTAGGTAATGAAAAATTAACTAGGGAAGATGATTTACAGTAGCAGAGTGTAAGATAGGAAGTAAAGAGGTGCACCACATGATAGATGGAGTGGTTCTGTAACTCTTCTTTAGGCTGGACATATCACATCAATATGTAAGGGAAAAAGCTGCATAAGTGAGACGAATTGTGCTTAACAATAATAGAGATGCAAGCGTCACCAACAGGACAGATCAACGGAGCAAAGTGAAATACACTTGAAGTGTTGTAGGAATGTAAAATTTGTGGCTATTCCTGAGTCGAGGGTTAATTGATTTAATCAAGTTGTATGACAAGCTGGAGACGCCAGAGGGAGAGAGAATCAAATATCGGTTTGTTAAGGTGAGACCAATAGAGGAAGAATGGCTACAATATGAACTGAAGAGAGGTACACAATATACAGCACAGTATAGGGAAGATAACATTAAGCATTGTTTGAAAGAAGACTGAATGTGGAAAGCAAGAAACAAGAAATTACACAAATGTTGGCAACAGTGATGGGTGTCGAGGAGGAGGTAAGGATGGTACTGAGAGGGAAGGCTTGTAGAGCACTGGGAGTAGTCGTGGAGTTGCAGCTGATGAAGGTGTTGTGATAGTGTCAGTGACATAATGGAGTGGAAACAGGATGTTATCAAGTCATTTGGATCATATAGTGGAGCAGAGGTTGAGGGAGATAGTGAACGTTAATGAACCAACATAGGAGAGAGACCAGTGGATGCTATCCTCCTACAGTATACCCAGGGGAAGGTTTTACATGGAAGTGGCAGGTGCAGGCAAACTCTGTTATTCATAGCCTCGGTATTCGTAACCCCGTTTATCCGCAATCAATTTATTGTTACCCATTTCCACTATTCACAATGGTTGCTCCGTTTATTCGCAAATTCTTAAGAGCAAAAATTTTTAACCGCGCGCCTCAATCGTAGCGGAGGACAGCATGTGTACATATTCCTCCTCCATACGCTCCCACTCGCCTCAGACTCTCACGTGCTGGCGTGTGTTTTGTGTGATCTCGCAATGCCTAAGAGACCAGCTACTAAAACTCCCAGCAATGTTGCTAAGAGATCACGTGTGGCAGTTACGTTGGACGTGAAATTGGATATCGTAGAAAAACACGAACACGGAGAAGGAGCGTCAGTGATTGGGCACGTGCACGGCTTGGCTCCCTCTACGGTGCATTCTATAGTTAAAGCGTCGACGAGATCAAGGAGATGGCCGGGTCTGCAACACCACTGACGGCTACGAAGGTGACGAGGTTCCGTGATGTCTACATTTAAAACTTACCTCACACATCTACTCACATAAACATTCAAACACTCACACACTCAAACATGTAAAGTACCCCTGTATACTGTACTTGTAAACATATACGCCTAATAAACTCAGAGTGTTTGATATTGATGTTTATTTGATATTATGCCCTTGTTTATTTATTTATTTTATGTTCTATATATATTGAGTAAAACAAGCGTTAAAATCTGACGGCCGTATCCCCCCTATTTACATTATTTCTTATGGGAGAAATTGCTCCGCTATTCGCAATGAGTTTCATGCCCGTAACCTTTGTAATAAGTGAGGCAGCCCTGTATATTGTTTCTCACTTTTGATCTTTTTTTTTTTTGTATTTATGGTTTTTTATTATTGTCATTACTACTACTATTACTTTTTTTTTTTAACGTAGCCTCCAGCCTCCCCCAATAGCCACACCTTCGCCGCCATTTTATTGCCTTAAAATTAAATATCCTAATACATAAGTAGCTATCCTAGCAGTGTTGAATTAGTTGAGCCGCAGATCTATGTGGCATTCAGTGACTGTAGCCTCATAGTCAATATCTGCAGCTGTTGTCGGCTTTGGGGCTGAAGCTCTCGTTCCCCTGAGACAGAGCAAAGCCGACCGAAGGAGAGAGAAAGACAGTCTCATCCAGGCTATAAAGTAGCTTCTGGGCTGCTGCTTCTCTTCGGAGATCACCTCTGCGAGTCTGGCGTAGAAACATCTTGCACTTGGTCCCATCCCCCCAGAGGTTGTGAACACTAGAGGAGTGAAGCTGCCTTGATCAACGTTCTGAATTCTCTCCCCGTATGCCCTTATCTTGTCGTTCTCGTTCCTCCTGTGTGCCGCACCGAGAGCTAAGTTACGGTAACATGCAGCCATGGGATCAAAAATCCTGATGTCGAAGAAGGCTCGCTGTCCCCGCGTCCAGAATCCTCGAGCACTGACGTCCACACTGGCTTCGTTGGATGTGTTTGAAGTCTTATGTTGGAAAGTCTCACCGTCCAATGGAAGAAGGGTCGGTTCTACCCTGACATCACTGCATATTTCCTTCAACATATTTGCTGTGAGATCCCTTACTTCGTCATGCCTCATGCAGATGAAGCCACTTTTCTTGCACACCATGGTGTGATCGACGTCATAGGTAGAGCCACACACGCATTGGGAGGGCAAACCTTTTACTGGCCAACCATACCTTAGAGCAGTGGCATCTGTAAATTCTTGTTTATTGAGACTGAAACCATTTGCCCTTATCGGTAACGTAGTTAACCAGTTCGAGGCGACCACCTCCTGCTCTGTAGCTACTTTTTTTTTTTCAAATTTTCTGGTACCTGCAGCTACTACTACTACTTCTACTGCATTTTCGCCCCCCAAGCCCCGATGTGGGTCCGTGACCTGTGCCCAAGTGGGCCATTCCCCGTAAAAAAGAAAAGAAATAATGATAATATTAATAATAATAATAATAATAATATACTGTATACATCTTCGAGGACCTTATGTGTTGTAGAGTTGTGTGATATGCTTGTATGTATTGTATTATTTATTTAATTTCTTGTTGATTTGTACATGTATATGTTTCATCCATTAGAAACAACTGTATTTAAGAAACACAGCTCAGTTGTTAATGTTAATTCCTTTTATAGATTTGGCCGTGAGTTAAACCAGCTGATAGAAGGGAGTGGTGGTGCGAGTGCTGCCACCATAACACCACCTGCAGGGATCCCCGCCTCGCGTCCCCGGGAGAGAAGCGCCGGACGCACGGGGCTGCCGTTCATTCGAGACCCTCTGACGGGTCCTCTGTCTAGGTATCAGAGTGCTAGACGCGGGACCCGTGCCACAACCACCACGGCCGACCCGCAGAATGCCAGAAGAGACACACTCTCTTATGTGGTGTCCCTCCTGAGGGCTCACAAAAATGAACATTGTGATACATTGCCTGACATTGATGTTGGTTCACTAAAGCATATAGGTGAGATACTGAGTTGTATTTCCTTATTGTTGAACACAAGTTATATAGACATACTGTATTGTACAGTATATAACTGAGGTATACTATATTTTCCCCAAAACACAAGTCAAGTTAGGTACAGTACCCAACACGTTTACAGTTGGTGTCCCCATAACACCTAGTGATGGACTAAGTTCATATCAATATTGAAGAACTAAGATAATATTATAATTTTAATGGATGGTTCTTTATTGTAGATAATTTGTAAAGGCTGCAACAGTAGTGTTGATGAGCAGAGTTATTCTTTTGTTAACACTTATGGTACTGTACACAAATTTATGCTTTTGTAAATACTGTACTTACAAAAGATATGAAAGTAAATGAAAGAGACAAAAATAAGATAATTCTTATAAATGCTTCTCTTTATATCTTGAAGACTATCACGATTTTCACACACACACACACACACACACACACACACACACACACACACACATACACACACACTAATTCTTAATAACAAAGCCTTATTTCTTATTTTGTTCATCCAGCATACGTGTTCGATGCCCTCATCAGTTACCTGCGGTGTTGTGAGAGTGACAGCAGTGCCCACATAGACTCAGGTGGAGCAGAGTGCACTGGGTTTTCGTGGGAACGCGATGAGAACGAGAACGAAGATGACATGGATGATCTGCCTTCTATCACACCTTCGGCTGGGGACAGTGAATCTGCAGATGAAGACTCCAATCTGTCAAATTCTCGTGGCAGAAAACACACATTTTTCCAGGTGCAGTAGAGTGTATTATGTTGTGGCATCCACCAGTCGCTCATCCTGACATTCTTTCCCTCTTGTACATATGTATTACACTTGTGGAACTATCAAAATTAATGTTCATTTGTTGGTAATTTTGAATATAATCTGTGGAATGAGTTGACCTGCTTCAACTAGTTTACTTGCTACTGTCATGTTAGCTACTTATTATCGGTACAGATGCTTTCAGAGGGACAAGTGTATGGTCCGTGTAAGGGACCAGTGTTGATGCCACCGAACTCCTCATCACTCGCTAGATATTCTGTACTGTATATCTTCACATGAATTATGGTACACTTGAGTATCAAGAACCTGAAATGCTTTGGACCAGGAGGCTTTCGGAAAGTAGATCATTTCAGAAATTTTATATATCCACACCAGGAATCCACATGGAAATGAAACAACTCTGAAGCTTTATAAGAATTTAATGAATAATACAAACAAGAATATCCACACAACTCATAGTCAGTATGTGTGAGTTTCACTTGGCGCACGGGCACACATCATTCGGGTATGTTAGGGTCGACATTGATCAAGCGTACCATTCGTAGCACAGACTAAGCCACAACAGCAGTACTCAGTTTCCCTCTACACATCTCGGGAGTTACAGAGGCCACCACCACCACTGTGATGCGCTCTTTCAGCCAAACAATATCCTGCACCTTTGTGGAGTACACATAGGACTTGTGTGGGAGGCAGCATGTATTTGTTCAACTTTCCTCCACCATGCTGTTGTAGAACACTGCCTGTCTCCTCACATTGGTTCATCCAACAGGTCTCTTCAGTTTGGTGGGGTTCCTTGCCAAACGTTGTATGAAATCATTGTTGCACCAGGGTAGGTGATGTCAGTCCGGCCATCCATAGCACATATTTTATCACCTTTTCTTGTTGGGTCAACATAATTGATTCTGAAACCCCCAAAAAATTTAAGCACATAAACTTAGATATATAGTGTGGAAATTGTGCAACTTTCAACATCCTCACGTTTATGCAAAAAAATTTGCAGGGCCTAAAAATGTTTTCATTTACTAATATATATATATATATATATATATATATATATATATATATATATATATATATATATATATATATATATATATATATATATATATATATATATATATATATATATATATATATATATATATATATATATATATATATATATATATATATATATACACACACACACACAGTCGACCCTCGTTAATTCGGACCCGTTTAATCCGGATTTCGGATAATTCAGACGAAATCTGAACTAAGCGAGGGACTGTCCGTATCAAATTTCTGGTTCTGGGATTGTCCGATAGATGGCGCGCGCACGCCAGACCGCCAGTCATTGTTGACTTAGCGCCATATTCGAGTATCAGTGTTGTGTTGCCCTGCAATTTTTGTTGATATTTCAGTGATTAGGCATCTTTCAGCCTTGTATTTTACATCATTTCTTCAAGGGGGAGTAATATGCCAAAGAGGAAGTATGTGACCCTTTCTGTGAACTAGAAACTGGAACTTATAAGGAAGTTAGAGGCTGGTGCTTCGGTGGCTAGAGTTTGTGACGAGTGTGGTGTTAAAAAGCAAACAGTTTCGGACATATGCAAGGCTAAGGACAAACTCACTGCATTTTCTTTGAAATATAATGCAATTTTATGCAATATTAACCCCTAAATCGGTTAATTCAGACAATTGGCTAAAACGGACACCCTTCCCCCCCCTATTAGACCGAATTAACGAGGGTCGACTGTGTGTGTGTGTGTGTGTGTGTGTGTATATATATATATATATATATATATATATATATATATATATATATATATATATATATATATATATATATATATATATATATATATATATATACATACATACATATATATACATATATATATATATATATATACACATACATACATATATATATATATACATATACATATACATATATATATAAAGTCGGAAATGCTTAAATAACCCATAGAAAATCGAAAATGGGGGGGTCTCTTTTTCTTTTCAGCACCATAAAACACTCACTTTTAAGCTAGCCAGCCATTTTAAAGTGAATTACAGATGAAAATTTTGTCTGTGTACTGACTTTGGGACTCGAAAATACGTAATTTGACCATATTTTGGTTCGACTGAGGCAGGTCGTAAGTGTGGGTGGACGTAAGTGGAGTAGGTCGTAAGTCGGGAGTACCTGCATTGTCTTGTAAGGTCAATCATCATATCAGGAATCAACAATTACCATTAAAATAAAGCAATACAGTAGAACGTCGATATAAAGATATAACGCGAGATACATTCCAAGAGAGGTCGCTTTAAACCGAATTTGCACTAAATTGAAGTGTTGTTTCAATGGATTAATTTAGTTTGGTACTTGAAAGAAACACAAATACGAAAAAGACTGAGAGTCTACCCAGATGCACCTCAGCCCATCTCCTAATATAAACAAAACATTGTTTTTTGTAGTATTATGTTAAAACAAACACTCATAAATCAACACAACTAAAATTAAAGGATGCAAAATGGTCTGTTTACTGGCTGAGTGGGAGGGGGGGAGGTGAGGTGATATGTTTGACAGTTGATGCCAAGGTCGAGTGCTTATTTATTTATTTGTCCTTAAGAGTCACTAAGTTTGTCTCTTATTAAATGTTACTGAACTGACATGGGAGAATAAAATTAACATTGCTGGAATTCTTATAAGATAGTGATTAATTTGAATATAAACATGCTATAGCTCGCATTAGACATAGAAAGAGCAAAAATTTTATCTCTTGTGCAAAATATATGACGTTTATATTCAAATTATTCACTGTCTTGCAAGGATAAAAACTTTAAGCCTAAAGCACCAAACCCTGGCTGGGGAGAGGGAGGGAAGTGACAGTGACATGTTTGACAGTTAGCACCGAAGGTCTAGTGAAGTATTTATTTGTTTATTTATGTCCTTTAGGTTGAGTTTTTGTTTTTTGTTTATATAATGTCACAGAAGTGACCGGGGAGAATATAGTTTACATTGCCCTTAGGACAGTGTAACGTGCCTAGAGAAACATTTTGCGCAAAATTTTAAATATGATGCGCCAGATTGACTCCCGCAAAATAGGAAAGATTTGCTTTAAATAAAAACATTGTCCTTAATTATGGGTGTCACTTTATATAAATATTCTTAAATTGAATCGCTTTAAATCGACGTTCTACTGTAATAATGAGATGCGTTCCCTAGTGTGTCCTTTACACTTCTTTGTTGTGGCTTTTTTCCCCTTTTCTCCCCAAACATTCAAATTAATATAAAATAAAAACTATACTTTAATTAATGCTTATTACTTATGGAATATAATTCACTTGGTGATAAAGAAATCAACTGTGGGTGGAGCCCCAGAGTATGAATGAACACAAAACTTCTCTTATTAACAAATACAAAAGATTCATTATTGTATGTTACTAAATGTCTGTACAGTATATGATTGAATTCATGTTTATGTATGCAAAATGAACGATAAAATTCACTAATAATAAGTGGAGACGGGACACCATTGTTGTTGTCGGTGTTTATACTCAGGGCGATGGTTCTCCATCTGAAACTGAAGAAGATAAGACCCTGGCTGTAGCTGTAGTAAAATTAACGTAACAAAAAGAATATCTGTTTAAATTAATGTTATTTATTGTAAACGGAACAATCGGAGTAACCGCCGACGGCAAAGAAAAAAGTGTGAGACGGACGGTGGAAGGCCAACGTACAGTTCGCGCACCCATGCAAATATAGCGTCATTTATCTCCATAAGAATATAAAAGTAACACTTATTACTGTACATGTACAGTAGGTTAATTAATATTTATGAATATAAAAAAGAAAATTCTACTCACCAATGTCCGTAAGACTGAAAAGTTAAGGACACAACCAGTGTTGTTGTCCGAGTTTTTAATCAGATGATGGTGAAGTGCCTGAATCGTCAAGTTCTCTATCTTAGCTTTTGAACCGGCACTTGCTCTCTTGCTTATGTTGAATAGGGGCACAAAAATGCCGTAAAATACCTGAGAAAGTTTTTATCCTGATCTGGTTCAGATACGTGGAAACAAAAAGCCCGCCAAGCAGAGACTGTTTATGTTAGTGACGTCACCAGCCCGGCAGCCCGAAAAGGTCTGTGAGCAAGGTGTTTTTTATGATTAATATTTGTACAATACTGTACAGTACTGTTGTTATTGTTTATGTAAAATATAATTTTATTATATTTTTTCTATTCGTCATAAATACAAATAAAATAACGATGTAAATTGAACCGAGTCCTAAATTAACCAGGGTTTTAAATATGAATCGTTGTAATTCAAGGCTTTCTGTATATACCGTAGTGTCAACTTTTAAGTCAACAAAGTTTGGTCTCCTGCGATTGTTCACTGGTGTGGGATGCTTACACTTAAAGGAAAGCTTTACAAATAGAAATATACCAGTACAGTAAGACAGAGATTTACATGTTTGGCAAAGTTATGAAGAAAAAAATGCATTGAATATTAACTTATTGTGACATACAGTATAAAGCTCAGCTCCACAATATGATGCCCTGCTGTCAGCTGCAGCATGTTTTCATCCTTATATTCATCACTGGTTTCATTACTTCACTAGTTTCATCTTTCAATATGTTCACTTTCGTTACATGATACTTGTTGCCAGAGGAAGAAAGTTCATTTACTGTACTGGTCACCAAGTTACCTTACTGAGTTTTGGAGAATTTCTACTTATTCTCTCATACCAAGAACTTCATGTTTTGAGTTTGCTGTACAACATTCATTATCATCACTTTTGTGTTTGTTATGAGACATAAGGGCAGTACACTTGGTTAGGATCCACTTTGCTTCTGAAGGAATTGATCCCAATTTGATGGTTATTTATAATTATGAGACTTTGAAGTAAGAGTATACAACTTGATTTTGTCAGTGTTGTCACTGTGTTGTTTCAAAAATAAAGTACTGTACTTTAAACTACTATACAGATCCCCTCCCCTCCCCTCCCCAAGCATTTTCTTGCTTACTACAGGGTGGCTGGAATGATGAGCCAATATTGTGTACAGAAACATTTTTCCCTTACATAAATAATGCAAATTTCAGTACAGTATATCTTATGGTCTTGCACTGCATGAGTTAATTTAGGTGAGAAATTTAGCAAATGTTGTTTAACACTTGAGCAGGCTGTAGATTGGCAGGATTTAGTGTGTACAATAATGTACAGTCACAATCCAAAGTTTCGACACCCCTCTTGGCTGGGTGTTCGCCGAGGCCAGGTTTGAGGTAAGGCTGGGTGATCGGACGCAGACATTCCACCACCACAACACTCCGAGACTCACAGTACACGAGTATGGAAGGAAATTTTAAAACTTTTTGACATGACATGAACTTGCATAACAAAATATGCGTAACTAGTTGTAATATTGGTGACCTCTGTGCCATGACTCTCATAATCCGAGACATTATGAAGTGAAATTTAAAAAATAAAGCAGCAGTAGACAGGAAACAAGGCAAGTGACCAAGAAGTAGTCACTAGTGATGACACACGGCCAGACATCTACGCTGAGGGTCGAGGTCTTCGGCAAAGTCGCTGCTCCGGACCAGACAAAAATTGTTTGGGTGATACCATGATTAATGTGAAGTGCAACATTCCCAGCCAAAATACTCCAATGTAGTTACTGATACACCATTAAATATTGTAAACCTGACTATATGAATTCCTAGTGTGTGTGAAACCATAATATTCCCAGGGTTATGGTAATATCTATACATGTATCGGCCTCACCTTGTCGACTGACCGCTCACTCCCTCTTGACAAAATTCGGCCGCCGGCAACCCTTTATAAATGCTGCCCTGATGATTCATGTGTAATACGAGGACTCAAGTCTAGTGGTTCCAAGCCAGTGCTTTGGGACCGGACAAAGTCTTTCATGCTCCAATCTTAACATGTCATTGTTGTGTGGCAACAATGTTATGAATGCATTTGTTATGCTAGTTGATGCCATGTCAAAGTTGGTAATAAGTTCCTTCCTGTGCTCTTGAGTTATGAGTCTCGGAGTGTTGTGGTGGTGGAATGTGAACCTCACCATCGTAGTGCCTCGTTACCACATTGCTGAACTAGTCTGTGTCCGAACACCCAGCCAGGGGAGTGTCGAAACTTTGGATTGTGACTGTACCATAGTTCATTAATTGAAGGATGGGTTACTTTCATTGAAGAAGTACTTGTATTATGACTCGTACAGAGGTTGACATTGTTGTTTATTTTGGCAGAGATCACAGTCGACCTTATGCCTGGGATCAGTAGGAGCAGATGTGTTCACTAGCAGCTTGCAGGAGGCTTTGCCACTTGCTGATAAACCACATCTTCTTCAGCCCAATGCTCGCAGAGAAGAACTCTTTGGAATTCCTCGTGCACACACTCATAATGCTGGTAAGTACAGTACTTCTTACATTCTTCTACCTTGTCACTTACAACATTTTTAACCCTTAGGCCCCGGGTGACGTTCCAGAACATCCGCCTATTTCCCGCCATTTTTTTTTTCTTTTTCTTTTTTTAAAGTTGATTTTTTCTCGGTTTAACCCCGCGGTGTGGGGGGGGTTATTGCCAGCAGCACCCTAACCCAGGGCTTAAGGGTTAATTAATAAGTTCGACAGAGTTAGGTCTTAAGTTTACAATTTGGTGTCCTGTTTCCATATCATTGGCACAAGTTCTGCTGAACACCAGAGACCAGGCAGTGTCCACTAGCCAGCACATCTTTACTGTACAGTACACTCAGTTTCCTTAAACTGATGAACATGTTACTATCCAGTACCTGTAATGGGAAAGTTCATTTATGAGATCATCGGGTCAAAGATCACGGCCACTGTTGCTGGAATGAGGATTGTGGTGTTTTAACAATAACTCCTACTGTACAGTAACCTCAGGCTATTTCATGACTTTAACTTGTATGTTTGTATTTTGCATCTACCAAAATTACTATTGTTTTATTGACACAAGGTTGAGCCTGTTATAAGTAATATAAGAATAGATTAATAAATGAAGTTTGATTAAGATATATTTCTTGATAATTAAAATGTAGTGACGGTGTGGATCACGTCCCGAGCAAGTGTACGGTCGTACACCGTGATGCAATAGCTCCGATGCTTACATCTGGGATGGATTTAGTTTCACCCTCAATAAACATTGTAAGAATTATATTAAGAAAAACTTATTCCCTCCCATTTTTAGGGTCTTTTCATGAGATAAGAATACATTTTTATCTATAGGAAAATGTCCTCATATTGCTTGTTAACATGCATGACTGTCGTCCAGTATTACTGCTGATTCTGTGGGTCGCTGGGTCAGTCAGAAAGAGCATGGCTGTGATGCCTCTCCCCTTCTCTCTTTCTCTATTTCTTTTTCTGTGTTATAAAAAGAACAATTGTGTTTATGTCTTGTGTATTGTAAGTAATTAAACCTTTTAAGTTTTGTGGTGGAAGTTTTGGGCCTCCAAGCCCTAGCCTCTTATTTTGTATTGAATTCCTTGTACTGTATAGTACTGTACTGTTATTTTCTTAATGCTCTTGGTTCCCATCACAAGCTAACACAAGACTAATGTATTTCCATGTAAATATGAGTTTTATAAGTATATATGTAGGTCCACATAAAAGGGAGGACCTTTTTATGTTGTGGTGAGTGTTAGTACAGTATGTTGTGAGTGTTGGTACAGTACAGTACAGTATGTGGTTACTTCATCATTCCTTCAGGAGATGTTTGTGTCTTACCCTCCTCTTAATTCATACTCAGTAAAAGTAGTAGTTTCAGGTAAAAGGCACATATAAATGTGTGTCAATTGTTATCTTGATATAAAGTTCAGTGTTTTGCCTTGCAGGTCATGGTACAAGAACGCCTTTAGACGCTCCTCTGTCTCGGCTTGGCGTGTTAGAGAACCTGCACATGGTGGGGCCCTACCCACCCACTCCCCAGCAGTCTTATGCACACATGTTGGGATCTACACGCACACTTGACCATCAGCCCACTGACCTCTCCCTCTACACCACAGGACAGTTGAGAGATTTAAAGGTATTGTATATCATTATGTTGGTACCAATAAAATGATGAACTGTATATCTTTTAAAATTTAAGCTTTAGGAATGAGTTACTTGAGGGCTGCAACAAGGCTTAACAAGTGGTGAAGTGTATGGGTGGAGGGAGGGTGTTGCTTGTGTTGTAGTGGCGTAGGTGAATAAAAGCTCAGAGTAAAGGATGTTAAATGGGGTGTACTAAGATGAGTGGGTAGAAGACTTGCTACAACATGGAAGAAAAGAGTGAAACAGTATACAAGTACTCCTCGACTTACGACCACCACAGTCGTATAAAATATTTTTCAAATTACGTATTTTCGAGTCCCGACGTTTGTGCTGACAAATTTTTCCTTTGTAATTCCCTCTAAAATGGCTGACAAGCGTAAAAGTGAGAGTTCTCGTGGTGCTGAGAAGAAAAAGAGACACCCGTTTTAGATTTTCTATGTATAATTTTCGCATTTTCGACTTAGGGTTGGGCATTAAAAAAATGAGAAGATAAAAGAGATACAGTGTGTAGTGGTAGGTTGACCCAGAGGCTCTCTTGTTTTGCCTGCCCCTCACAGTGGAGCTTCCTGGAGGAGTGAGGTGGTGCAGATAATGTGCACCTTAGATTGTTAAAGGAATGATTAATTCCTGGATCTGGGCTTACCTATCCTGACCAAACTTAACTTAACCTGCCCTTATCTAACTTAGCCCAACCTAACCTAACCAACCCAGAATTTTAATATGAAAATTTGAGTCCCGTTGCAGATGAAGGGATTAGTTTTGCATGTTTTCAGGGAACATAGGACTTCATTGTTCTATAAAGTTTGTGTTATGCTTCAGTAGAGGAATGTCACTGTATTGTACTTCAGAGTAAATTGCTGTATTTGAAGAGATAAACATATTGGATGCAACAAAAAAGCTATTTTATGAAAGAAGATAACTCCATGTACAACTTTGTGGTGTGTAGGATGAAGATATTAGTGAGGACAGTGGAGAAACATCTCAGGAACGAGCCCCCATCATTGTATCCCCAAGAAGAACGGGCAGCAGCTTGGGTGAGGGAATATCAGACCACAGCAGCGGTGGTGCCACGTACACGGCCGAGTCCACTACACCTGCTAGATCCAGCGTCAAAAGTGTGATTGTCAGGATTGGTTCATCAGCTGTATCTAATGCATTTAAACCTGAGGTGAGTAAACAACAGTAAAAGATGAGGATACAATAGTGGGACAATGTTCATGAAATAGTGCAAAAAGGGTGGAGCTTTTACTAATAGTTTCTGGCCTCAGTGTTTGTAATATGAGGCCAGGAGTCACTTAATTACTGTGCAGTACTTGGGTAAGAGTATTTCTTGTACTGTACTGTAAACTACTAAGCACTTAAAAGTTTATGTGAAATACGTATTTTTTTTTTATTGTTATTTTTATTTTGTAATTGAGAACCCTAAATAATTCCACTATACACTAAAGACTGTATCAGTTAGGAACCTAATATTTTTTGCAAATGTAACCTAATGTAATAGAAGGACATGACATGATCCTGAGAATTAACAGGTATCATGTGACCCATTGATGGTGTTGAACTATTATCCCTCAGTCATGTTATGATGCTCACTGTGTTAATGTTTGAACGCTGTATGAGATTTAATGACAACTTTATCATCATTGGTTCAAAATATATGGTAATTTGGTGTTGCCACTTAAACTGTGTTATTTGGAAATTTTGGTTTAGGTTCTTATGCACTTCTGCTATCCACTACCTCATATATGTTCCTATTCTAAACGCGTCCAAAAAAGCCATTGAAAATCATGCAAAATATGAGAGGTGTGTTGGAGGAAGAGAGAGAGCATGGTACAGAACCACACACCCAATATTTACACTAAAAATTCCTTTCTGCTGCCTCTGTTCTCACTTCAACACTAATTCCATCATTCCAAAACACTTTTTAACATTATAACTCGACTTGAGACTGAACAACTGCTTCCTGGACTGATGTTGTTCAGACTAAAGGGAGGGACTAATGTTGTGAGGGAACAGCAGACGCGATGCCCACTCATGTTGCCATATAGTGAAGGTCTGGTAAACTACTTTTGTTTGATATTTATTAAATCTTTACAAGCTTATTTAATGAGACAATCAGTATTAAACATAATCCCATGTGTATGGGCTCCCTTCAGAGCTTCAAAAGTCGTCTGGCATTAGTCAAATAAAATATTAAGATTGTCATCCCCATAGTGAAGGGGTTAATGTTAATGTTTTTTCAAGAAATGAAAAATTAAAGACATCTTTAGTGGTTTTCTTAACTAGAGGTCACAGCCTCAAGTTAATAAAGCCAGAAACTGTTGTGCAATAATAACCGCTCACCTTACAACATGGCTCACCTTACAACATGATTCACCTTACAACATGATTCACCTTACAACATGATTCACCTTACAACATGGCTTCCTTACAACATGGCTCACCTTACAACATGATTCACCTTACAACATGATTCACCTTACAACATGGCTCACCTTACAACATGGCTCACCTTATAACATGATTCACCTTACAACATGGCTCACCTTACAACATGATTCACCTTACAACATAAGCCCACCTTACAACATAGCTCCTGCCCTAACCCTGGCTCACCTTTACAAACATGGCTCACCTTACAACCTAGCTCACCTTACAACATGATTCACCTTACAACATGGCTCACCTTACAACAACCTGGCTCACCTTACAACATGATTCACGCCCACAACATGGCTCACCTACAACCCTGGCTCACCTTACAACATGATTCACCTTACAACCTGATTCACCTTACCTACAACCTTGCCAATTCACCTTACAACATGATTTACAACATGGCTCACCTTACAACATGGCTCACATTACAACATGGATCCACCTTTTACAACATGGCTCACCTTACAACATGATTCACCTTACAACATGGCTCACCTTACAACATGATTTTACAACATGATTACAACATGATTCACCTTACAACATGATTCAGTTCACCTTACAACATGATTCACCTACAACATGGCTCCACCCACATGGCTCACCCACATAACATGATTCACCTTACAACATGGCTCACCTTACAGCATGATTCAACATGGCTCACCTACAACATGGCTCACCTTACAACATGATTCACACTTACAACATGATTCACCTTACAACATGAATCACCTTACAACATGATTCACCCACAACATGGCTCACCTTACAACATGATTCACCTACAACATGATTCACCTTACAACATGGCTCACCTTACAACATGATTCACCTTACAACATGGCTCACCTTACAAACATGCCACATCACCTCACCTTACAACATCACCGCCCCACAACATAGGCTCACCTTACAACATGATTCAATTTTACAACATGGCTCACCTTACAACGCAGATTCACCTTACAACATAGGCTCACCTTACAACATGATTCTGCCTAGCAAAACCACCTTACAACCTTGATTCACCTTACAACATGGCTCACCTTACAACATGATTCACCTTACAACATGGCTCACCTTACAACAATTCACCTTACAACATGATTCACCTTACAACATGGCTCACCTACAACATGGCTCACCTTACAACATGATTCACCTTACAACATGATTCACCTTACAACATGATTTACAACATGATTCACCTACAACATGGCTCACCTTACAACATGATTCACCTACAACATGATTCACCTTTTACAACATGATTCTCTTACAACATGATTACAACATACAACATGGCTCACCCATAAACATGGCTCACCTTACAACATGATTCACCCATAACATCACCTTACAACATGGCTCACCTTACAACGCAGTTCACCTTACATAACATGATTCACCTTACAACATGATTCACCTAGCATGATTCACCTACAACATGGCTCACCTTACAACATGGCTCACCTTATGGCAACATGGCTCACCTTACAACATGGCTCACCTTTATGGCTCACCTACAAACATGATTCACCTTACAACACTGGCTCACCCCTTACAACATGGCTCACCTTACAACATGATTCACCTACAACATAGCTCACTGCTTACAACATGGCTCACCTAGCACCTCACCTTACAACATGGCTCACCTTACAACATGGCTCACCTTACAACATGGCTCACCTTACAACATGATTCACCTTACAACATGATTCACCTTACAACATGATTCACCTTACAACATGATTCACCTTACAACATGATTCACCTTACAACATGATTCACCTTACAACATGGGCTCACCTTACAACATGATTCACCTTACAACATGATTCACCTTACAACATGATTCACCTTACAACATGATTCACCTTACAACATGATTCACCTTACAACGCATGCATTCACCTTACAACATAGTTCACCTTACAACATGGCTCACCTACAACATGGCCTAACATAGCTCACCTTACAACATGGCTCACCTTACAACACATTAGTTACAACATTACAACATGGCTCACCTTACAACATGATTCACCTTACAACATGTTCACCCCTTACAACAACATGGCTCACCTTACAACATAGCTCCTGCCTTACAACATAAGCTCACCCCCTTACAACAGCTCACCTTACAACATAAGCTCACCTTACCAACATAGCTCACCTTACAACATAGCTCACCCACAACATAGCTCACCTTACAACATGATTCACCTTACAACATGGCTCACCTTCACAACACAACATGGCTCACCTTACAACATGGCTCACAACATGATTAACCTTACAACATGATTCACCTTACAACATAGCCCACACCACAACATGGCTCAGCTCACCTTACAACATGGCTCACCTTACAACATGATTCACCTTACAACATGGCTCACCTTACAACATGATTCACCTTACAACATGATTCACCCCTAGCATGGCTTACAACCCCCTTACAACATGGCTCACACACACAACATAAGCTCACCTTACAACACTTGGCTCACCCCTTACAACATGGCTCACCTTACAACATGGCTCACCTTACAACAAGCTCACCTTACAACATGATTCACCTTAACATAGCTCACCTTACAACATAGTTCCGCCCACAACGCAGTTCACCTTACAACATGATTCACCTTACAACATGATTCACCTTACAACATGGCTCACCTTACAACATGGCTCACCTTACAACATGGCTCACCTTACAACATGGCTCACCTTACAACATGGCTCACCTTACAACATGGCTCACCTTACAACATGGCTCACCTGACATCTTACCAATAATAGTATGAACCCTTCAAGACACGTCCACAATGGACTTTTAAATGTATATCTTTATTTTAGTGCGTTTTTTCCAAGCTGAGAAGAGATGTCCCGCCCCCTCCTCAAGGGTTACAGCTGATTGGCTGTTGCAAATCTGTCCGATTTCGTCCTGAAGTAATGATGTATTTCTAAATGAGTTTATTCATAATCGTTGGGATGACCGTTTCTGACGAGAAAGATATTTAGCTAAATTATATAAAGATACATACATTCATTAATTCAAACAGGAGCACGTAGGAAGTTTATCAGAAGTTTTATATACATGAATTAACTGTTAAACTCTGGCAGGAAATTCACGCTTTCGGAGGACGCAATTAATATGTACTTATTTATTACCCACAATAAGGCATACTAAGACAAATTACATATGAGTAATACTACATTATGCAAAACCTAACATTTTAAAAGATCAGAATCACACTGAAATATTACATGACCATCAGCAGAGGCGGGAAATATGAAGTTGTTCGCTGTCATATTTCCCGCCTCTGCTGACGGTCATGTAATATTTCAGTGTGATTCTGATCTTTTAAAATGTTAGGTTTTGCATAATGTAGTATTACTCATATGTAATTTGTCTTAGTATGCCTTATTGTGGGTAATAAATAAGTATATATTAATTGCGTCCTCCGAAAGCATGAATTTCCTGCCAGAGTTTAACAGTTAATTCATGTATATAAAACTTCTGATAAACTTCCTACGTGCTCCTGTTTGAATTAATGAATGTATTTATCTTTATATAATTTAGCTAAATATCTTTCTCGTCAGAAACGGTCATCCCAACGATTATGAATAAACTCATTTAGAAATACATCATTACTTCAGGACGAAATCGGACAGATTTGCAACAGCCAATCAGCTGTAACTCTTGAGGAGGGGGCGGGACATCTCTTCTCAGCTTGGAAAAAACGCACTATAGTAAGAGTTAATGTAAGAGGTCATCATATTAAAGATAATGAATATTATATTTATAAAAGGTTGTGTTACTTTGTGTTGTAGGTTGGCACAGCATCATCGCTGTCGTCTAGCCTGGCAGCTTCAACATCCACCACGACCTGCACTCCCTCGGGCCCCTTAGGGGGGCGTAGCGGAGCAGACCTTCTTGTGGTTCCCTTGGACGGGCGAGGTAGTCGGGGCCCCGAGGTAGGCCTGCACGCACCCCATGATGTGTCAGCCAATGTTACCATCGACACTACACATGACCATATGAAGTGAGTCTCTCTCTCTCTCTCTCTGCCAGTTGGGTCCCATTATAGTACTATACTCACTTTACACTAGCTTGGCCCAGAAGCCACGCCCCCTTTCTACGCTAAAAAGTAGCTGATTGGTCCATAAAAAGTGTTCGTTTACCTCTGCATTTATCATACTAATATGTTCACAATTTATAATTAGACTTGTTCTTCTCAATAATAATGTAAAAAATTACGAACATAAAAATGCAAATGATTTCAAGGCATTAGCACTTCAAAGTGGATGCTAAAAATGTCATACAGTGGCTCAAAGACTGTGAAGTACCGTTCTTTAATGACTGGCCTGGCAGTAGCCCAAATCTCAACCCAACAGAAAATTTGTGGTCCATTGTTAAGCATCGTTTGCACGACACTGACACATCATCAATCTCGAAGCTAGAGGCAGCCATCAAGGATATCTGGGCTAACTTGCCACCTGACCTCTTGCAAAACCTTGCTAAAGGACTTCCCGAAGTGCAAAGGGAACATTACAAAGTATTAATTGAAGTGGTAAATGTTACTTGACTTTATTTATATAACATAACAGTAAATATGCATTTTTTTTAAGCAGACAAACTAACTTTCCGCGCAGACTGTACATACCGTTAAAGTACCTGTAAAAGAGAGAGAGTGAAGCAACATTGCGGCGAAGAGAAAGGGAAGAAAGATTATCAACTAAAGGAGGAGAGTTAATAAGATGAAATGCCTTTGATTCCACCCCATCTAACAGTTGGACAGAAGAGCCATGCCAGATATGAGAGCAGTACTCCAAGTTAGGAGTGCTGACCTTAAAACCAATCATGGCTCACCTCATTGTCCTCACACAAAGATTAGAAGCATCCATTCTTAATTTTGTTAATTGTTGTAATTTTATTATGTTTTATCAGAATAGGTGACCATACAAGGTCAATAAATGTTTAATTTATATTCATGATGAGCGAACCAGTATGGTACAATAGTCAGCCACCAGGGGGAGGGGTTTCATCATCACAGTATCTCTCCTGCTAACGTATCAAAGGATGAGTGGAAGACTTCATTTAATGAGTCAACTGTTGCAACAATAATTAATAGATCAGTTTAAAAAAATAGAAAATGTTCACGATTGTAAAACTCAACCAAAAAGTTTCAACATCAAAAATGTTATTGATCATCCTCTACTGAAACAGTCAACAGTTACCTGGGACCAAAGAACAATGTGTTGATACAGTGACTGTTGACATATATTATGTTAACAGCTGTGTACTGTTGTCCCTCAGTACCGTATGTTGTGTCTAGTCCAGGAGAAAAAAACAAATGAAATTGTTTTGATGTTATAATATACAGTATTATTGCACTTCAACGACTAACGTCTTTAAGCTTATTCCTTCCAACCTGGTACAGTATAATACAGTACAGTGGTCCCTCGATTAACGAACACGGTTGGTTCCACAGAGTTGTTCGTTAGCCGAAAATTTCGTTAACTGAATATTATTTCAATGGGATATTGGGTAATTGGTTCCAACTCACAGAAAAAGTATACATACAAAGTACTGTATACCGGTAATAGAATTAACAAAACATTAAATATAAACTAAATACAGTACTGTACTGTACAGTATAATGTACTGTATAATAATAAATAAAAAACAATAGAATACTGTACTGTATTTTAACTTATTTTGAGGTGTGTATGTTGTATTCCCGGCAGCTTTGTTTACATATCAAACAGCTGATTGTAGAGGCAGTCGATGATGACATGCCATATTCTTTACAGAGTGCATTGTGTTCTAATGCCTTCTTTGTGCTTCATAATAATTTCCGCACTGTATATTATCAATATGTTAACTAAATTTCAGAATGACTAATAATTTTAATGTAAAAATGCAAAAATATTCAAGAGACCAACAAACTGGATGTTCACTCCACTGTAAACAAAGTTAAACTGAGAAGCATTGGTGGGTGATTCAATCAGCTGAAGGGCACACAAAAACTGTTCCCTGTACTGTATATATTATTAATATGTTAACTAAATTAGAATGATCAATAATTTTAATATAAAAAATGCAGAAATATTCAAGAGACCAACTTTCTTTATATTTACTCCACTGGAAACGAATGTAACCATAGAACCAATTACTGTATTGGCGGACTAGCAGATCAGCTGATGCGCACAACAAATCGTGTTTCTCATAAGGCTTTCGTTAATCAAAGTTTTGTTCTTTAATGGAATTGAAAATCCTTATGGGAGCTAATTCGTTAACCGAACTTTCGTTAATTGGACCGTTAGTTAATCGAGGGACCGCTGTGTACTGTATATTGATGTTATATAATTTGCATTTATTATATTTGTTTATTTATTTTAATTTTTATCTTCTTCCTCCCTAGACCGGCATTATTAAGAAGTGGAGTATCTCAGGATTTGCTGTTGGGACGGTGGAGACTGACGTTGGAGTTGTTTGGGAGAGTATTTATTGATGACGTTGGAGCTGAACCTGGCTCTATTATTGCCCAGCTTGGAGGTTTCCCTGTTAAAGAGGCCAAGTTTAGAAGAGAAATGGAAAAACTTAGGAACTGTCAACAACGGGACCTGAATCTCACTAAGGTAAGAGCTTTACTTCATGAATTTGTTGAGTGTGATAGTTTGGAACACAGCATGTGTTTATAGCAGCCATACAGTGACTTGGTAATCCAAGTTATTGATGGTTCTTGCTTCAAGTAGGCAGCAAGAGGCTATAATAATTCTGCTTTTGAAACTCCTGAAAAACCCTTCACAAGGTGAGCCAGCCATATCACAAGCAGGGACTTGAACCTGGCTATGAGGATGTCACTGTCTACAAATGTGAACAAGGGCTACTTAAGTAACCAGCCAGTTGAGTACTCTCACAGTACACTTGTCAGTTTTCAGAGGCACTGTACACGCCCTCCATAAAGTATGTTTAAGGAGCGGTGAATTTTAAAATGAACACCGTGACTCCCGTTGTACCATATTGTCTCGCACAAAATCATTTACTATACTTTTTGGAGTGAGTGTACAAGAGTCCCCATAGTTACATATTATGGAGAGTTTGCTGAAGGAGAGTTGTGCTTAAAGTGTAAAAACAAGGGAAGACAAGTGAAAGAATAGGAAGACAAAATACACACACACACACACCTCTGGCTTTGTTCTCTACTCACTCATACACACTGTTGCTGTTCTCTCAACTCTACTGTGACCTTCATCCCATTACCTTGGTGCTTACTTCTCCCACCTACCAGCATGCATTGTACACTCTTCACCAATATTCATTTCCCAGTCTGTCAGTACCTATGTCCAGACCACCTGAACAGACTGTGATCTACTCTCCACCAAATGCTTCATTCACTTCCACATGTTTTCTTTCTTTCTGTACTTGTAAGTAAATGCTAGTGAAGATTAACTTTGTAAGAAGAATTTGTCTCTATTTGATCTTATGTGTCCAAGTGTTCCATGTGTTCCATTTGTTGTGAAGATAATTCATGAGCTAACCTGAGTCATGACGTAAATATTTTTGTGGGCAAAGAGATTTCTTGGAGAGAGAATTTTTTATATACTGTACATCAATTGGGAGAATTAAATGTTGCTTCACGGCGACGATAAGGTTAAACGTGTAGATAATCATACACAGAGGGATAAGGTAAGTCTCTGAAGTTCTTACAAGAATTTTCTCCACCTACCTATTACTGTAGCCTTAAGTCAAAATTATATATTGTTTGTGAAGTGTGTGTGATAAACCCTTACAGTAAGAGAGTGACTCAAACTGTTAGAGAGTTGTGGTACACTACCGTACTGTGTGAACACTTCCATGTTGCTCCTGGTGGCTTGGATGTTGCAGGATGTGAATTGCTTTTCGGGAGTTCATGACCCGATCTTATCAATAAGAATACAGTATATGGCTAACTAGCAATCTCAATTGTTACAGCTTTTGGCAGGTTGAGAAGTCAATAATGTGATTCCAGTTTTGGTGTACTGTATTATACTGTAGAAAGAACTGTAAGGTCAGTAGCTTTTCCACAGGTCAGCCCTTCCCTTGTTGCCACAAAGTGGATTTTGCAGGTTTTAATCCTTTTGTGTCATATATTTCTAAAATTATTTTTGCTAACTCATGTAAGTCTTTTCCCTGCATGTTGCAGAGTATTCATTTAAAGAAGATTACTATTATACTGTACTATATGTGTGTGCTTCTATTTAACATATTTATGATGAATGTTATGTGTAGGTAGATTTTTGTAATACAGAACAGAACAGTACAGTATTTGGACGTATATTAAACTTGTATTGTTATTGTTGCAGATTGACCGTGAGAGAGGACAGCTAGTTACTCAAACGTTTAAGGAACTCAACACACAGTACAACAACTACCACAGGCGGGGCACACAGTCGTCTCCGCCTCTAGCGGTGAATCGTGTTAAAGTCACATTCCGGGACGAGCCGGGTGAAGGGTCAGGAGTGGCCAGATCCTTTTACACGGCCATTGCAGAGGCTCTCTTGTCCGGGGAGAAGCTCCCCAGCCTGGAACCCTGCCAGGTGAGGCCCAAAGAAGTATGTCATCTTCTCAAGTTTTCCTTCACAAAGTAGCCACTAACTTTTCCACTTGTACAGTACAGTACTTGGCAAACATTACAAGAGTGTTTTAACAGTGTGGGGAGCATCATCTGTTTGCTGAAGAATTCAAGATTATATTTTACAATTGATTTCGTATTTTAAAAGTTTTACTTTGCTGGTGGTAAATATTTTCTTTGTATTTTCTTGCTCTCCTCTTTCTCTTGACTTTTACAGTCAACCTCACATGGTAATTTCTCTTGATCTTCTAAATAGAATGGTTAATTTAGTACATTACAAGTAACTTTGTTTGTTGGTTAGCCTTAAAGACAAACTCGTGTAGTATAATGGTTGACCTTCGTGTTCGAGGATGGCCGGCCCAGGGTCACCTATGTATGAATTTGTTTAAAGTTTAAAAGCTGTCGCCAACACAACAACCACACCCTAAATGAATGAGCTGTGTGACCCAGTGTCAAGGAATAACCCCAAAAGATCGTACAACTCGCCAACTGCACTGGTAAATCATCACTCCGGAATATGATCAGCGAATCATTTAATATCTAGGTTTCCAATTACTGTTATGTAGACAGAGGGAAATGGCATAATGAAACTTGTCCATAGTTTGATCCTACCCAGAGATCAAACCTGGGTCCACTGGCTTACGAGGCGAGTTTGCCGACCATTACACCACAAGCCTTATAATACAGGGCTGCTAACTGAGAGTTATACTTGTATATCCTTAGACAAATAACCCATAAAGTCCATCAGTGTTAATTGGTTCTTATTAGAAATACTGATCACCTTACCATCACATAGTTGGCCAGAGGTGAGGGACATGGTACTGTATTCCTATAGGCTGGAGACAATAACAGTTTACATCATACTGGTCTGTCAGTTTCTGGCACTGACCACCAACACTGTACACCACCCACACTCTACACCACCCACACTCTACACCACCCACACTCTACACCACCCACACTCTACACCACCCACACTCTACACCACCCACACTCTACACCACCCACACTCTACACCACCCACACTCACCCACCCACATTCTACACCACCCACACTCTACACCACCCACATTCTACACCACCCACACACACACCCACTCACACCACCACCCACCACACCACCACACCACCCACCCACCACCACCACCCTCTACACCACCCACACACACACCACCCACACACTCACACCACCCACACACTGCACCACCACACCCCACACCCACACCTCACCCACCCACACTCTACACCACCACACACCACCCACACTCTACACTCACACCACCACACCACCCACACCTACACCACACACCACCCACCCACCACACCCACACCACCTCACACCACCCACACACCACCCCACACTGCACCACCCACACTCTACACCCACACTGCACCACCCACACACACACCACCCACACACCACCCACTCTACACCACCCACACACCACCCACACACTGCCCACCACACCTACACCACCCACACCACCCACACTCACACCCACACTGCACCACCCACACACCCACCTACACCACCCACCCTACCCACTCACACACCACCCACACACCCACACCACCCACACTACACCACCACACACCCACACCACCCACACTCTACACCCACACTCTACACCACCCACACTCACACCACCACACACACCACCCACACACCACACCACCACCCACACACTGCACCCACCACACCACTGCACCACCCACACACCCACACTACCACCACACACCACCCACACTACACCCACACACCACACAACACCACCCACACTCTACACCACCCACACTCTACACCACCCACACGCTACACCACCCACACGCTACACCACCCACACGCTACACCACCCACACTCTACACCACCCACACTCTACACCACCCACACTCTACACCACCCACACTCTACACCACCCATGATATAGTTCAACACATACAGTACAGTAGTGAAGGGAATGGCAGAGAAAAAAAATACAGCTCATGATAGTGTCTGTGTTTTATGCCAGGAGGCTCACCATGGCTGGTCATCACCACTCAAAGGCTGTTGGCAGTCATCTTGGACTCCAGTTTAATCATATTTTTAATTATGTGTTGGAATTAAACACCTATGAGGAAAGTGGAAGTAGGGGTTGATGAAGGGTCTGTTAAGAGCCTTCTGTTTATCATGGTGTTAGAAGCATTATCGTTGAACATTAAGACGGGTCTGCCCGGGGAGGAGTCGTGTGTTGGTGACTCAGTGTTGATTAAAGAGGCGCTGGAGTAATTTACCGTATTTCTCGGCGTATAAGCCGAGGTTGTAAGCCCCCCAAAATCATGGGGTCGGTTTATACCGCAGATCTAGATCATGAACCTTAAAAATTTCTGGTGCATAGCAGCGAGACACACTGTTTACTACTCACAAACTTCAATGTGAACTGCCCAGTCAGTTGTTATTCTCTTTCTGAGAACCTGTATACAAAACAACTTTGAAATACAACTTTGTTATTATAAAGATATGAACTGAAATGGCCTAAAATATTAAAATAATAGAAATACTACAACAGCGACATGACACGACTGTTGTTCACTATTACTGGTGTGGTGGCTTGATCACCTGTTACAGTGGTCCTTCGGTTAACGAGCACAATCCGTTCCAGCAGGTTGCTCGTTAACCGAAACCATTGTTTCAATGGGTTTTTGTGTAATTGGTTCCAGCTCACCGAAAATTGCCTAAATTCAACAAAAAAGGTAGAAAAGTACACTTAATTTGAGGTGTGTATGTAGAAGGCTCCTGGATGATGATGATGATGGGAATTAGAATGGGGATGGAGGAGAAGGGAGAAGAGAAGGCATTGGGGTGGAAGAGAAGTCACCCCATGGTGCTATTTCACCCATAAAATTTTAGCTCTCTTGGTGTATTTCAAGATTATTTTCTTTAAATCAACACTGCACTGCATTATATATTGTCAATATGTAAAATAAATTTCAAAATGACCAATAATTTGCTTGGAAACACAGAAAAAAAGCGTTTAGTTGAAAAGAGTCTCAAGCAAGATGTTACCTCCACTGAAAAGAGAGAGCGACTAACGCCTGTTTGTGTGTTAACAGACTGGATGGCACGCCAGAAACTAGTTTCTTTACCTTCAATTATGTTCAATAATTGTTAAAATGACTAAAAAAAATTAATATTAAACTTTTAAAATTATTGAATAGTATAAACTTCTTGATATTTACTAAAATAGTAAGAAATTTGAGCCCTTAAAGCGATTACTGTATTGGCGGACTAATACTACAGCTGGTGGACCGCCAAATGCAAGCGAAAACATGTTGAGGTCGGCTTGTAAAAAACTCGTTAATTGAGGGATTGCTCGTTAACCGAAGTTAAGAATCTTATGGAAGGTAAATCGTTAACCGAAATTTCGTTAACTGAGGCGCTCGTTAACCGAGGGATCACTGTATTCACCCCAAGGACATTAGTGTAAAAAAACACATCAGTATAATTTTGAAATACAATTTAGAATTGAAATGGTCTAGAATCCTTCGAAATCTTCCTCCGAACTAGTGGTTCCTTCCGGTGAATCCCGGTCCTCCGACTCTGCTGCGGCTTCGTCGTCATCTTCCCTCACCACATCATCCTCCTCACCATCCAGAGAAATGGATATGCAACATTTTTTTAATGATTTTACTACTGTTTCTGTTTTTATGGCATTCCAAGAATCTATCACAAATTCGCGCAGCTCGCATATTTCCTCCTTTTGTGAATGTTTTCTCGCCTTCAATCATCTACTTGTTCCACCTATCTCTAACTCTGTCCTTGAAAGGCTTATTAGGGCATACATCAAGAGGCTGAACAACAGATGTTAATCCACCAGGTATCACTGCAGTATCTGTGTTATGTTTTTTCAAGCATTTTCTCACTGGCTCAGTCAAGTGAGACTGGAACATATCCCACTCTAGCAAACTACGCTCCTTCCTCAGTCCACCTGGCCTCCTACTCCAAATGTGTTCTAACCACAGTCTAACTCCTTCTTCGTCCTCCCAACCATTCTCCTGCACGTGCACATACGCCCCCGCCGGGAACTTAACTTTTGGTATTGTTTTCCCCTTAAAGATAATCATGGGTTTCAACTTTGTTCCATCTGCCATACAACTCAAAACCACTGTGAAGCGTGCTTTTTCATGTCAAGTCGTCTTCACCAAAATAGTTTCCGAGCCTTTTGCTTCCACCGTTCGATTGCTGATCATATCAAAGTTCATAGGAGTTTCGTCCATATTCCCGATACAGGTTAGAGGGAAATTGTGGTTGCGCCGTATTTGAACAATGTACCGTTGAAAACACGTAATTTTGCTCTTCGGGTCACGGGGTAACTTTTGTGCGCTTTTAGTTTTCTGTTTATTTTTCTATTCATAAAACGACTACACCACCCTCTTGTTGCCTTGAAGTCTTTACCGGTGTCCAGATTTGACTTGGCCAGCTTCATTGCGTAAGTACATATGACGTTCCCGGTGATGACGTATCCACTCTCTCGGTTCTCGTTGACCCACTTGAATAATTTCTCCAGTTCTGGCCACTGTTGTTTACCTCTTCTCAGGGCACATTTTGTTCTGGGGATGTCCGTTAACTTTTCTTCAGCCTTCTTCCACTCTCGAACCTGCTTCTCGTAAATGCCAAATTCTCTTGCAGCTGCAGTGTTGTTTGATGCCTTTGCAAATCTTACAACTTTTAACTTGAACGATGCGTCGTATTTCATTCGTTTTGCAGGTGGAGCCATTTTACCATAAGGTTTAAAGACAACCACCTCATAGATATGGAAAATGCCAAGTGGAGAGAATGTGGTAAACAGATAAGAGGTCGACTATGAAGGTGAGTCAGTCCAGTATTGAACGTCAAACCGCTCGTAACTGTAATTCGTAATGAGTCCAGTTTGGGGGTCGGCTTATACACACGACATCAGCCTAGAACTGATATTTCAACTAAATATTCGGGGATCATCTTATACGTCGGGTCGGCAAAATTACAAGTACTGTAATTATAAATGGCATGGGTGAAGGACACTTGGTGGAAAGTGGCCTCTTAGGTCTGTAAAAAAAAAAGAATTAACAGCAAGTCTGGTGTGGAGGAAGTGTGGATGGTGGGTACACAAGAGATGCAGTGGTGTGAATGCTGACTAAGTTTGTTTTATACACATGTAAGCATGTGGCCTTAACAAGGCTGGAAAAACTCAACTTTGGGAATATATCCCTGGACTATGTCAATGAGTTCTGTCACCTGGGTGACATGATTATTGCTGAAGGTGGTGCTGAACCTAGCTCATTTGCAAGAGTCAGAAGTGTAGCTGTTGTCTTTATTGAAAGGAAAGATGTGTGCAACTTGCAGAGAGGTATGATATTTTATGGCAGTGAATCATGGGTAGTTAAAGAGGATGATATTTGCAGACTTAAGCAAACTGAAATGAGATTGGTTAAGTGGATGTGTAATTTGTCACTGAAAGATAAGAAACTATATATATATATATATATATATATATATATATATATATATATATATATATATATATATATATATATATATATATATATATATATATATATATATATATATATATATATATATATATATATATATATATATATATATATATATATATATATATATATAGTGATTTACTTGCATATATATATATATATATATATATATATATATATATATATATATATATATATATATATATATATATATATATATATATATATATATATATATATATATATATATATATATATATATATATATATATATATATATATATATATATATATATATATATATACGAACTGTCTCGCAAATTGGGTACGAGTTGACATGTTCTGATGAGTATGATTTGCTTGGGTACAAGTTGTCCACTTTACCTTACTAACACGTTACGGTTCTCGGGGATACTTTACATCGGGATTTAAGGTGTCGACTTACCTTACCAATTATTGTTGTTCTTTGAGAAGTTACACTAGAGACACTAACTTGTTAATGTTGACACGATGCTCTCCTGAATAATACTGTATTCAGGACACTCCCGTCACTCTGGTCATAGACAGGAGTGCCACACGACTACTACAGGTTAGTTCTCAAGGAGTTACCATATGTGTGAACAAACACTTGTCTTGTGGCAGCTGCAGGGAGGCTCTGTGGTCACAGTAGGCAGAGGTGAGGTGAGCTGAAGAGGAGGTTCCTTAGTGTTGGTTGGTTTATGTCTTTTATCATCATTAAAATTTGTTTCAAACTTTTATCACTATTTTTTCTGTACGTTATTTTAGTTTGGTTATTATTTAATCGATAGAACTTTAAACTCGCGCTCTTTAGGATGTACTGTACTGTACAGTGGTCCCTCGATTAACGAACACAATTCGTTCCACAGAGTCGTTCTTTAACCGAAAATTTCGTTAACCTAATCTATTATTTCAACTGGATGTTCACTCCACTGTAAACAAAGTTAAACTGAGAAGCGTTGGTGGGTGATTCAATCAGCTGGTTGGCACACAAAAACTGTTCCCTGTATTGTATATATTATCAATATGTTAACTAAATTAGAATGATCAATAATTTTAATATAAAAAATGCAGAAATATTCAAGAGACCAACTTTCTTTATATTTACTCCACTGGAAACGAATGTAACCATAGAACCAATTACTGTATTGGCGGACTAGCCGATCAGCTGATGCGCACAACAAAGCGTGTTTCTCGTAGCGCTGTCGTTAATCAAAGTTTTGTTCTTTAATGGAATTGAAAATCCTTATGGGAGCTAATTCTTTAATCGAAATTTCATTAATTGAACCCTTCATTAATCGAGGGACCACCGTATTTAAGATTTTTTCAGTGTACATTTTTACAGTGAAAGTTAATAAGTGAATGTGACAGGTGAATATCTGTTAAAACTGGTAGACAAAAGTCCACTTGGGTATTGAATGTGGTCCCTGCTGTATTAGAGTAGAGTGGACCCTGTGATAGTCTTATACAGTACAGCCTTATGATAAATATTGTAGTTGTTATAATGATGATCTGTGATGAATTCCTCTGGAAGATGTACAGTACTGTACTGCACCTTTCAGCTGCTGTTGGCTGTCGTACAGTACCTGACCTGGAAGATGTACAGTACTGTACTGCATCTTTCAGCTGCTGTTGGCTGTGGTACAGTACCTGACCACAATACTGTACTTGTCATAGTCACATATAAGATATCTTTATCAGGTTGGACTCTCTGTGGTGCGATACAGCTTATACGGCCAGTACAAGGGTCGTGACAGAGACCGTCGCCAGGGTGCGTCATCTTCGCGCTCTTTACAAAGGAGAGAAGCCCGGAAGACGCTCACCGTCGATGCCCGCCCATTTTACATGACGGGAGAAGGGACCAGCAATGAACATCTGCCCTCCAACATGTTGCAAATTGGAGAAGTGCTCTTCCCTAAAGTGCAGAGCCTCAGACCAGTGAGTACTGTAACTTATTACTAATAACTTATGCATATTATAATATAATGTTCCTTATATTATCTGAAATATTTGTTACTTTATTTAAATTAGATCGGCTAACCCACGCAAGCAAAGAAAATAAACGTGGGGGGAGGTTGACAGTTAAAGAAGTGTAAATGTGGAGGAGTGGAAAGCTGTGAGGTAGGCTAAAAGTGACATGGAGAAAGTTTATAAGAAATTATCTTGGGGATAAGCACCTGACTGGTGAAGCAGCAAGAGACTGTACAATATGGAGAGCTGTCTCAGATAAACCTGCCTAACCCACACATGTGTCAAAAATGGCTGTAAAAGTTAGATGACAATGGTGATATGTTAATAATGTGATGACTATGTTCTATATTTAGTTTTAGCCAGGCAGGATTGTTTTGGGGGTTATTCGTTATGGTATCTTTGAGTAGGTCACAATTGTCAAGGCTGGGCGCTAAACTAATTGTCTAAGAGCTGGTCACTCACCATGGAATAAAATTAAGCCTTCTCGGTAGGGATGGCCACTATGAGAGATGACGTGATAGAAAAGAAATTAAGGTAGTTTTATTGTTATTATTTTTACTAGTATTGTTGGTACATTTTTCAACAGTCTCTTGCCAGCAAAATCACTGGGATGTTGTTGGAGTTGACACACGCCCAGCTGCTGCTGCTCTCGGCCAGTGAAGACGCTCTCCGCCAGAAGGTGGACGAGGCAGTGGATCTCATTCTTGCCCAGGGCAGAGACCACACCCCAGAGTATTCCCCATCACACCAAGGTATGTTGATTGTGTCTGGATAACTGATACAGAACTGTACTGTACTGTAGTGGAAATACAAGTTTTGAGGCTGCTAGAAGATCAGGTGAAATATTTACTGTATTTTATTTTTATGGCATATAAGACGCACCCCCTATTGTAGCAGGGAATAGTTCAGAAGAACCTTTTGTGTGTATTTTCCTCCTGTAGCCATAGCATTCTTCAAATAATATATACAGTACCAGTAATTGGGAGGAATAAATAAAAATAATACCAATAAATAAGTTACAAAAAAAAATACTGTATTGCCAGACCAGTAAATAAAAGTTTAACACAGTCACCATTTGCATATACTGTACTCTACATCTGTACTCCCTTCCCTGTATGTGTTTACCCCTAAGACAATTATTTCTTTTACTTTTTTCACAATATGTATGTAGGATGATGTATACATGTAACTCGGTAAAAATAAATGAAGAAAGTTATGTATATCTACCTGAAAATACAAGTTGAAAAACAACAGCTTGGCCCAGTAGCCTGGTGGTTACAGAGACTAGTCTAACCCGGCTACAGTGCCGCCAAGTGATCTGTAAAGCTTCATTTGTAGATTGAAAAATAGATATTGCAGGTATGGCATTAATAGATTGTAATGCTTGTAAGAGTTCAGAAATGGCTACTGCTTAGTTACCTCTGAAGAGTTGGGTGTATGCCATATGGACGATAATTGCTTCGGTACAGTACAGAGTAGTTATAGAACTACCTTTTATATTTACAATAATTAATTTTTAATTAATTAAAAATAAGAATATGTTTAAGTAAGCAATAACATTTTTAATTCTGGAGTTGGTTAGCTTACTGTAGACAGCAACGGGTGATTCATTAGCTTCGGGGAGACTGCAACTTCTCATATAGGATGCAGGCTGATTTTTTTTGCCATTTTTCATACAAAAAAGTACATCTTATATGCCATAAAATACAGTAATGGGAATTTTTATCTTTTTACTGCAACGTGGAATTTTTTTAAAATGTGGTTCCTGTATAGAGTAAACCTTTGTTCAACACAAGTGATACGTCTTAGAAAACCTTGAATTTTGTATAGTTAAAATATCCAAGATAACTATCATGCATCCATTGCAAAAAGTATCAACATTTGTAGATGTTATCCATTGGTGATAAACATTTGCCCAAAAAAATTATGTACACACAATAAAAAAAGGTAAAAAAAATATATTTCAGGAGGGACCCAAACTGAACGGTCGTGTTGTCTCGCTAGGGTTGATAGTGAGACATTTCCTACCTATGATGGGCCTAATTTAGTTATCTATTTCAAAATATAAAATTATTTTGTTGTAATATGATTGGTGAATAACAGTATGCCTCTTGGTCCCTTATTAAAAACCTTAGTTCATGGTGTCATTTTGTTTCCCACAAGATTTGTAAGTTAATGGGAATTGTTAGTGATGTAATGTGTGGTGTTGGTGAACCAGATGATGGAACCACTGTCATGTGCTCACTCAACTATTATAATATTGTAGATTAAATTATTGTTTTTTGTGTGTGTGTGACAGACACAGATGAAGGTGGGGAGGAACCTGAGGATGCCAGTGCACCTCTGTTTTACCAGCCAGGCAAGAGAGGTTTCTACTCTCCTAGACAGAGTCGACCAACTCCCGAAAGACTAAATGCATTCCGCAATGTTGGGAGGTGAGTGACCTCTGGCCGTGTTGGTGCTTGACTTGTTATTTTAATAAATTAATGTTTATTGTCATTTTCCATATTTATTCTCTGTATGATGTTGGTTACTAACAATTTTATCATCTTTCACCAGACTTCTGGGGCTGTGCTTACTACAAAATGAGCTGTGTCCTATTTATTTAAACCGACACGTTCTAAAATATATTCTGGGGCGTCCAGTTCGCTTCCACGACCTGGCCTTCTTTGACCCAGTGATGTATGAAAGTTTACGCAAGCTGGTGCTAGATGCAGAGAACAAGGACACTGGCACTGATGTATTCAAAGCACTGGACCTTACATTCAGGTACTGCACTCTACTGTATTGTAGTTTCTTTGGGTTTACATTGCAGTAAGACTGTAATGTGATATAGTAATGGATACTACAATGATATGTTTATTTCTGAGAATATGATACATATACTGTACCATTGTATCTTGGTTCACTGTGTTTAAGATATTGTACAAGTTAGAAAATATGCAATATACTGTACCTGTAGTTAATACTGTAATTAATAAATTAAAATACAAACAAATAAAATTTAGGTTTTAAACACTTAAGTTATGATAACAGTTAAGTAAGTGTGAGAGATATGTTGTTGTGCTTGTGTTTGATCCAGAGAGTAAGTAAAGGAAGGGGAGAACACTATGAATGGATGGGGTAAGGTATTGTATACTGCAAACAATACATGTGGGAATAACATTTTGTGCAACTGGTAAAGGAACTAGAGAGAGAGAGTGGTTGTGCTAGCATTTTTGGATCATAGAGAAATATAAAGAGATTAAAGGAAAAATCACACAGGAGGGAGGAGGAAGTGAGAGGCTATACATAAAAGCTACAGGAGGGGAGTAAGTCACTGGACGTATTGAGGCTGGGAGATGGAGGTGAGGGAATGGCTGAGTCAGGTTATGTATGACAAGAAGGAATAAATGAAAGAATTACATGAGAAGCTTCATGGTAGTCTTTGTTGAGGGAAGAGCAGTGTGGGGTCAGGGAAGGAAGAGGAGGTGTGCGTTAAGTTCATGATGAGTGGTTGGGAGAGGAAGGAATTTATGACATTTATTATATTGACAGAAATGTAAAGAGTTGATTGAAAATGTAAGTGGGAAGTATTGAATGCCCATCATGCGTTGATTCTAATTTAATTTGTGTAATATTTACCAGTATTGACGTGATCCCGGAGGAAGGTGGCACAAATATAGAGCTCATAAGTGGAGGACGGAATGTAGAAGTAACTACTGGTAACGTGTACGACTACGTGCGCAAATATGCCGAGTATCGCATGGTTAAATCTCAAGAAAAAGCCTTGCAAGTAAGTGTATCAATATAAAGTTTATGAGTTAAATCACCTCTGGGAATGGTTCAGATTTTCATCATTATTAATTACTGCCTTTTTTTCTATACTCATGTGTTTGCCATGGTTACCTGATGGCAACTCTCAGTCTCATGCAGCCTTTCTCATCAGGTTCTTATCTCTTAAATCAATTCTCACAACCTCTCCCTATGTCATTCTTGGCCTACCACTGGCTCTCCTCCCCTTCACATTCAACCTCATGCCACTCTTGCCCCAGTTGGTCTCCTCCATCTCAGCCGGCCTTTACACAAAACTTCACCAACACTCATAACCCAGTTACCCTCTTAGCTCTGTATAGAGTAGGGTTTCATGTCACAATATCACATTACACATCCCTCTCACCATTCTCATTTCATTTCACTCAAGTCTATGTATGTCATCCTCTTTAGCTACTTAGAAAGACCCTAAGTGGCTGATATGTACTAATAATGACCTTCAAGTAGTTAATAGGTACTTAACATGTTCCCACACCAGGGTAATAAACCATTCACTGATGGCTGTAGTGTTTGGCTCTGATTGTAATTTTAGTTCCACTCACCAGAAGTTTCCTTTGTAGAAATAAAAGACAGTAGCTTTCTTTTGACAAGCATGAAGTGTGTTGTTTTCCAAGCTTTTTTCTTTTAAGGCTTTTGGACGTTAGGCTAAAGGGAGGAGAAAGTAGAAAAAAGAGGAAGATTATTATGTACTGTACAGTATCTTATAGTAGCATATGGTTAACATGGTAGTAGATAGAGTAGTAGGAAGTCGAGGAACATGAATTGTCCACCGATGATGGTCGTCGTCCCGACGGCTAACTACAGTGCCATTGATGAGGCCGCTGTTTCGGGGTTAATTGTAATTTTAAGTTTCGGTGGCTTAATGCTCAGATTTCTTTCATATTGCATTGTTGAATGTATCATTAACACTATTGTTTATATGTTTCAGAACATACGTGATGGAGTGTTTGATGTCATCCCTGGAGGTTATTTAGACTCTCTCACTGCTGAGGACCTACGATTGTTGCTCAATGGGGTTGGAGATATCAACGTTGCCACTCTGATCTCGTACACGTCGTTCAATGACGAGAGCGCCGAGTCTAATGATCGTCTCAACAAGTTCAAGCGTTGGCTCTGGTCCATCGTAGAAAAAATGACTAATCAGGAGAAGCAGGATCTGGTATGTACTGTATTGGTGAGAATTACTTTAATGATACCAGCGTAGTGCAGTATATAATATGACGTGGGGGATGAGTTCATGTTTGAAGGTGTACCACTAAGAGGGTTTCCTTGGTGGGTGTGGAGTGAGACAGTCCACCAATTTTGGATCTCACTTCTTATCCAAAAGGTTACTTGTTCCCTCCTGACACATTTTGGGGAAGTAATGCTGTAGGGGATAACAGTGCAGGCTCGTGTGTAAAAACCCCGAGTACTGGACTAATTAAGCCACAACTATGTCGTTACTCAGGCGTCCGTATCAGCAGGGAGGCACAACTGTTCAAAACAACAGCCAGCATATTACACTAACACATCTTGGCTTATTTAAGTTCATAATAAATTTGTTCAAGTAAAATAATCATACTTCTGATAAACTTTCAGGAAACTCCATTGTTTTATATTGAAAGTGTTAATAGATGTAGGTAAGATTCTTGATTCTAGAAGCTTTCAGAGCAGCAAAAAAGGATTCTTGAAGGTTCCCGAGTCCTGACGTACGTACGTATGTATGTGGCATTGACGGCCATGTGCAGTGTAAGATGACGTGGATGTGTACAGTATACCTCGGGCAATGAAGTGGATACGTTCACGTAATTCATTTTAATCTCATAAACTACGTTGTCAAAGGTAGATTTAACAGTGAGTAAAAGAATATAGGTTCCAGTCCTTCATTATTCTGTATTTTGCTTCCACCAAAAATGGACAAAAATGCTATAATTAGCAGTGAAAATAATACATAGCACATTATAAAATACAAAAGCATCCTATGGATGATGTCGAGAGTTGGGGGAGTTCAGACAGCCAACCGAGTTGAGAGACGTATGGCTGTGACGTCACTTTTGGGAGAGCATGATATATCCACACATACATTCACCTCCCACAGAGAATACTGGACTGGTCACACTCATGCCCTTCATTTATCTTTTTTTATAGTTTTATATTATATTTCCATTATTTCTAAGTCACATCAGAATACTGAAATGATTTTCCCACAACTTTGCCAGTTTCATTCCATGAATCAGTGGCAACAGGATTTAGGAAGTATTAAAACTTAGGGTATATGAATGATAGACGTCAAACCGTCACTTTTTGTGATCTTTTATTGTAGTACAGTAAACTCTCGCTATTCGCGGGTTTGCGATTTCGACTATTAATGGTAAGCAGATAGTGGCTAGCTTACGAGCCTCTCCCACAGCTCACCAAGTCACCCCCACACCCTCGCAGCGTCTCCTCTCCCTTTGTTTGTACTCAACCATTGCCTGTGATGCAGTATCTCTTGTGTTGTACTCAAAACTGTAGTGTTTCTGTGTGAAATGGCCCCTGAAAGACTGCCCAGTGTCAGTGCTAGTGGAAACAACTACCAATCACGATGTTTTTCAAGAAAGAACCAGACACTTGCCCAGCTGATTCTTCTCCCTCACCTACTCGGTCAACTGCTGCTGCTCCACCACCCACTTCCCCGCCACCTCACCACCCACTTCCCCGCCACCTCCCCACCCACTTCCCTGCCACCTCACCACCCACTTCCCTGCCACCTCACCACCCACTTCCCTGCCACCTCACCACCCACTTCCCTGCCACCTCACCACCCACTTCCCCGCCACCTCCCCACCCACTTTCCGACAAGTGCCTCTGGAACCTATATTGGCGTACTAATACTACAGCTGGTTGACCGCCAAGTGCAAGCGAAAACATGTTCAGGTCGGCTCGTAAGAAACTCGTTAATCGAGGGATTGCTCGTTAACCGAAGTTAAGAATCTTATGGGAGGTAACTCGTTAACCGAAATCTTGTTAATCGAGGGACCACTGTATTAGTGTCTGACCACATGGTCTTGTGACTAGGCTTGTTGTCCCCTGGGGTGTAATAAATTACAGTGGTCCCTCGGTTAATGAACACAATTCATTCCAGAAGGTCGTTTGTTAACCGAAATTTTTTTTAACCAAAACCATTGTTTCAATGGGATTTTGGGTAATTGGTTCCAGCTCACCGAAAATTACATACACATACAAACTAAAAATAAATGCAGTAAAGTACACTTACTTTGAGGTGTGTGTGTAGAAGGCTCCTGGTTGATGATGATGATGATGATGGGAATTAGAAGTGGGGGTGGAGGAGAAGGGAGAAGAGAAGGCAGTAGGGTGGAAGAGAAATCACCCCATGCTTCATGCCACCATTTTACCCATAAAATTCTAAGTTCGCTAGGTGTAATTCAAGATTATTTTCTTTAAATCAACACTGCACTGCACTATATATTGTCAATATGTAAAATCAATTTCAGAATGACCAATAATTGTACTGTAAAAATGTAAAAATAGTTTATGTTCAAGAGAGTCTCAAGCAAGATGCGTCCTCCACTGAGCAGAGACACAAACTGACTCCATTCTGGGTGAGTCAAGTGGCTGTTTGGCGCGCTAAAAACTAGTTCCCTGTACTTCAATTATGTTAAATAATTGTTAAAATGACTAAAAAAAATTAATATAAGACTTGGAAAATTATTGAATAGTACAACCTTCTGGATATTTACTCAAATGGTAACAAATTTAAGCCCTAAAACCGATTACAGTAGTACCCCGATTTACGCGGTCAATTGAACCCACAGGGTACCGCGTAAAGTGAACAACAGAACATATGGGATTAATTCCAATAGAGACTGGCCTGACCCCCAAACTCCACTTTTTGACGACACACAACTATGTTGTAGTAAAAATATTATCTTAACTTTATGATGGTATGCACACACAATTAATAATTAAGAGAAATATCAATAATATTAGGTTTTTTAACACTTACATTAGTAGAAAAGATGGCTGGGCACACGGGGATGGGGGGTTGGTTCCGAGGCAGAGGGCAGATTATTGGCCCTCACCTGTATCACTTGTATCAATTGTATTACTATCCACCACAGAGGCTTGCAGGGCCTCTTTGTCAAACCCCTCAAAGTCCATATAAGTCCATATCCTCACAATAATTATCACTATCACTGACTTGGGCCGGCTGTGGTGGGTGGCGGGTGAAGAACTCGGTAATGTTTTGATGACTGGGCGACCTTGTGCGCATCCTGCCCGCGCCGCTTCCCGCGTATATGAGTAGATGCACCGCGGAAAGTGAAAGTTCGGTTCTGGCGAGGCACCGCGTAAATGAGAAATCGCGGAAAGTGGAACCGCGTAAAGCGGGGTAATACTGTACACCTACCCAAAAATATTACTCGAGTTCAATACTCAGTAATTTATTCAGCTACTTTACAACTCAGGAAGTTCTACATATAATAGCTATTTCCCTCTGTAAAAGTGGGCTGGTTATGAAATTTGCTTGATGACACCTGGAACACCATGGCTAACCCACACAAATGGTCATTAAACAACGATGATGATGCGTAACGTAGATAATCCAGATTCCTGTTGCTGCAGGTAATGGCCCAATAACACAGTGATGAATCTGGATCCCAGGACCAACACTGCACTCTGACAAACATGTTATGCATTATACTGTACTTTATAAGATATCATTACCATGCAGGAGCAGGAATGATATTTTAGTCAAACTTGATGCAAAAGTTTGTTAAGTGTTATACTGTTCTTAGCTTGCTAGTCTCTTCACTAACTCATTGGTCAGCCCACTAGGTAGACACCCCAAGTTCTCTTCCTAATTTTCTATAGTATGTTATCTTCATATGAGGATGTTAAGTGAGGAATGGTTTTCAGTGAAGAAGTGTTTGGGTGAGGTAAATGGCATTAACATATGATGTATCATTTCAGTGTAAAGTGTGGGGGGAAAGTAGACAGTGTTGAATCCACATTATTGACTGCAGGAATTTATAGTCTGTTGTTAAGAGAGTTTGTATTATGATGTGGCATAGTAAGGACAGGTCACCCCAGGTTGTCTTTAGTTGTTACAAATCCCTTCCACAGACATCATCCCTATAGCCTTAACAGAGGGCACTCCAGGCTGCTCCATCTTTCATGTTTGTTATGCTCTCTCATCCTCTTACCCCTTTATTGTGTTGTGATGTTGCAGGTCTACTTTTGGACTGGTTCACCAGCTCTACCAGCATCTGAAGAAGGGTTCCAGCCCATGCCGTCGGTCACCATCCGGCCTGCCGATGACTCCCACTTACCCACGGCCAACACGTGCATCAGCCGCCTCTACATCCCTCTCTACTCGACTCGTGCTATTTTACGCTCCAAACTCCTGCTAGCCATTAAGACCAAAAACTTTGGCTTTGTTTGAGAGCTAACTAGAAATATAATTGATTAAGGATAAGGGAGAAATATTTGTATTAAGGAACCAGAAGCTGTAGCAAGTGATGAGGTTTGTGTGTATATGTCAATGGTTATCTGGTTCACTGGCCTGGGGTAGGGGTGCAGGTCCATGTAAGAAAGCTGAAGGAGTCTCTTTCAAGAAGTTGTGAAGTAATTAGTGCAGCACATGCAGGAGGTGAGTCATGTGTTGACTCAAAAGTTAAAGTTGTTATGTATGTTTTTAAGTTTGTTCCATAAAAAGTGAGGGAAATTTGAAGTGTTTTGTATACATTAAGGAAGTATAGTGAAGGCATTACTAGTGAACAAGAAGGATGATGCAAGAATGTTAGTTACCGTACCAGTTTTAGATGTGACCTAATTAAAATGATTTATAATCAATCGGCAGTTTGAAGCTGTTAGTGTATCACTGTAATTTTATATTTTATTGATGCAGGCGATATTAGCCCAAAGTGTGCAATGATTAACACAATACAGTACAGTAAAGGTCACACTTGGCATCCTCAAGATTTGTGGTTATTGGCACTGTCTTATCTTTAGTAAAATAACTATAAAACCTCAATCTTTACACCTTACTGGAGGAGACACTATCAACTTCCCGAAGTAATAATAAAAAAACCGAAACCCTTTATAAGTCTTTATTATCAATATTTTTTTGTTTTTGAGTATATATTCATGATCATCAAAGACCTTTGTCGTGGTAGTAAACATGTCAACTATAACTGTAGTGTGTATCACGAATGATGGCATGTTGTGGTAACTTCTTTTTATTTGAGCTGAATGTTGCGTTTTATGCAAAGTAACTTCAATTTTTTTTTAATAAGTTTGTCTAAAATTAAACTTTCACTTTAAGAAAAAATGAATCAGTGATGGCACTTTGATTATGGCTTCTGCCCAAAAGATGGTACAGTACATTACAGTACAGTACTTGTTGAAGGCATTCCTTGCAGTTATAGAAGACAAGAATGATGAAAGAAACCCATCAAATTTTATAAATAAAGTTAAGAGGTATGAGTGAGTATGTGATTGCACAGCAAACTGAAGACATCAGTTTGGATGTAATATTGGAGAGGAAGGATGGTCATGTAATGGTGCAGTTGGCTGTGTCAATATACAATATTTAAGGTGGTCAGCTTTGTGTGTGTGTATGTAGAACAGAGACCTTTAGTACTTTTTTCAAAAGTCAAGAAAATGAAAGAGCTAACCTCTATGCACTGTACCTTAACAATGAACGTCTGGCTAATATGTTTTGTAGGTGACTGAGTGACTTACTGTGCAAAATAAGTAAATACTGTAGTAACAGTACACTGGGTATGTCTGCTTGATGAAACTTTATGGCTTATTATTTAAGTCATAACCTTTCAGAGTTTATTATATATATTTAAGCCATTCTGTCCCTCCCTTCTTTTTAGTTTTCCTCCACTTCTTGCTGACCAAAAATTGTGTGAGAGGATGTGGCAACACAGGGTGTGTGTAGTAGTGGTTACTAACAAGTTTGTCATTCCATAATTCAATCATACACACACACACACACTTTCATCTTTTATATATTTTCAGCTTTTGGCTGCTATATTTTTCAATAAACTGTTATTATTATTTGTTCATAATATTTTGGTTTTGCACTTACACTTTTAATCCTTCTCCACAATCCAGTCATCCACACAACACACTTTTGTCTTCTGTATATTTATAGCTGCAATTTTCATTAACAAATTTTTTAAAGTTTTTATATATTTTATACACACACTTTCAAGCCTTTTTCACGTTACAGTATACTGTACATACATACATGCAGTCAGTTAAAGCTGTAAACAAAATTCGCTTTACAGTATTGTTTTTTCTGCAGACATTCATATACTGTGCAGTATCTTTTTTGCTCTTCAATGCAAGTGATTAAAGTTCAGACAAGAACAGAAAAGCAAATTAACATCAGAAAATTATCAAAATGTGAGCATTTAGACTGAAAAGTGAATTTTGCTCAACTATAATTTACTCAGTCCTGTACTGTATACTGTATTATGACGTCTGGGGATTATAAAGATAAATTGTTAAATATGGTATACAGTATTTGCCCAGCCTGCCTCACCTTGCAGTTACTGTACATGTAAAATATTTTTGATTGGTGACTGTATTGAGGAGCAGGAGTTAGTGAGGGTGACCCAGGCCCACTTCATTTGTGTTCCTCGTACTGAATTTATTATTTTGCCGTACTGAGATCTTACCATCTTTAAGGACAATTTTAAGGCAAATCTTGTGATGCAGATTGACTTGTCTGGCTGTTACTCTTCCATTTATTATGAACTACTAAGAATGTGAACAGTGTTTATTATGGTCCAATGTAGATGTCTCATTAGCTACAACCCTATTTGAGTGTGCACGTCTTTCTGTCACATGCTTTGGTCAGAACAATTTATTTATTTTATGTATTGATCTTTAAGAGTATCTCATAATGGTATAGATTGGTTGATTCTCACACTCCAATCAGTTATTCTTGTAGAGATATTTTATATCCCCAAATCATAGACTATTTAGTTTAATTTATTTAATTTGTTTGTTTTAATGTTTATTAAATTCTGACTATAAACAGTATGTGAGCCGAGAGGAACTGATTAGTGTGGATTGTGAATTTAGGATTGTATAAAATCAGATTGGTTTAAAAATATAAAATTGCCGTTATTAGTGTTTTGTAATGGAGTAGTTTAAGCTGCAACATTTTGGGAAGGAGATGGTGAGTCATGATGTCTTCATATATTAAGAATGTAATAATATGAAATAAAAAATCTTGCACCAAGTTTATCTTGTGTCCTTAATAAAGTATGTGAGTACTGATGACTTAATTCGGTGTATGGATCAAGTGGTCCTGTTATATACAGGCAGTCACCGGGTTACGAACGAGGTTAAATTTGAAATTTACAGTATTTTATTTAACTGATGACTTATTTTTTACTTTAATTTACTGTATTCTGTCATTCTATTTCTTCTTTTCTCAAAAATTAAGTGATTTTAGATGTATATAAGGACTTAGGTTATTATATAGTGAAATTTTAAACATTGTTCTGTAATTAATGTAATCGCTCATAGGAGCAATTTTGGTTTGTGCAGGACAATAAGACCCTTGTCGTTGACGCGATGAGTATAATTCTGCCAAAACCTGTTGAATATAATTCACATATAACAAATGCTGGTATATCAGGACACACACAATGAATACTGTAGTACGTTCAATATACAGTACATAACCTCTTACTAAATAAAACTCGCATGTTACAACTGCTGATACATCAGGACACAGTTTGAACAATATGATCAATATACAGTACATAAATACACTTATTAAAGTTATTTAGAATTCTCAGAGTATTCAACAGTTCACAATCACACTCACGTTTTGGGGTTTAGGGTTAGACCAACGAGAACAAATATAATGTCCTGCAGGAAGATGTTGGCTGACGAGACTCAAGATGTTGCCTCTACAGTAGAAGGCCATAGTCTGTCCCTCGGGTAGTCACAGCTGCTACTAGCTTCATCTCGCTTAGTAAGCTATTCTGAGTTGTAAACAGTTTCTTCACTTAACATGTGGCCAAGTACAGTATGTACATAGCATGTGATTTAGACTTAAATACACTTGCGACTTAAGAACATCCTCAGGAATGTGAGTAGTAATGACTTGACTCGGTTCCTGGATCAGGTGGTCCTGTCATATCTGGGTGTTTGAGAATTTCTTTCCCAGTTATGATGTAGATAATTACCTACAGTACCATAATCATGAGAGGTGGAGGAAGGGAAAGGCTGCCTTGTACAGCACACTACAGTACTGTAGTGTTTCCATAGATGCTTGTACTATACACGGGTGGTGATTTAGTTGGGTGTTGCTGATTTATAACTTTCTTTTTCTCTCTATGATCTCTGCATTATCAATGTGATTCACATACTAATTTTTATTTCCCAGCTTCAAATATCATTCTAGCTTATGAGTTATTTAATATTATTTGATATTGTAAAATATAAAGAAGAAAAGGTAAATATGAAGATTAACCCGTCACACCTCATTCTGCCAGCCAGTCAACTATTGGTAAAATTTTAGGCCCTGGTTGCAAAGTCTTGTAAATGGAGTATAGCTTGAGACATACCTTGCAATACCTCACATGATATAAGTCCACCTGGATAATACCTTCCAATGCATCTTTTAAAACAAAATCACAACCAATTGTAACTGATATTGATACATTGCATCAGGCACAAGTTCAGTGGTACCAGCACTTTATTTTCTAGCCATTTTAAAATCTGAAGTACAATTACAGTTTGTAGATTCAATTCTGTATATTGCACATCCTACAGTGATGTCTTACAATATTAAGAAAACTAAGGAACACTAAATTCTGTAAACACAATCTTTGCAAATGAGACCTAGGGTCAGTTTCTAGCCAAGCAGGCAGATTGACAAATAGGGTCACTTAACAGTTCTTCAGTATTTAATCTACTGTATCTTATCGCCACTGGCTTCACCTACAGTGTTGGTGTGTGCTGCCTTTAAATCTTTCAACCTGTTACCTCGCCAGATGTAGAAGTGTTTACAGACAAGTGCTGGTTTTACGGGGCGTATATTCAGGGTGTGCTCCTCACACCCACAGAAGTCATAAAATAATGATTTAATTCTTTTATTTAATGTAAATAAATATACATGACATATTACATGTATTAACACAGTGTTAACCTCAACTGTTGTTTCTTGGCTTTCCTGTTGGCTCTCTATTAGCTGCAAAGCCTACAGTTGAGCGGAGCTGTCACCGCACACTTTGGGTACAGTGATCCCTCGGTTAACAAATTACCTTCCATAAGATTCTTAACTTCGGTTAACGAACATTCCCTCGATTAACGAATTCCTTACGAATTTTTCCTAACATGTTTTCGCCTGCATTTCACTGCCCACCAGCTGTAGTATTAGTCTGCCAATACAGTAATCGGTTCTAGGACTTAAATTCCTTACTATTTTAGTAAATATCAAGAAGTTTGTACTATTCAATATTTTAAGTCGACACACCATACAGGCGTCAGTCTCTGTGTCTTTTCAGTGGAGGTAACATCTTGCTTCAGACTCTTCGATATAAACGCTTTTTTTCTGTGTTTCCAGTCAAATTATTGGTCATTTTGAAATTTATTTTACATATTGACAATATAATTATAATGCAGTGCAGTGTTGATTTAAAGAAAATAATCTTGAATTACACCAAGTGAACTAAAATTTTATGGGTGAAATGGCGCCATGGGGTGACTTCTCTTCCACCTCAATGCCTTCTCCCCTCCCTCCTCCTCCACCCCTATTCTAATTCCCATCATCATCATCCAGGAGCCATCTACATACACACATCAAAGTAAGTGTACTTTACTAACTTTTTTTTGTTGACTTAAGGCAATTTTCGGTGAGCTGGAACCAATTACCCAAAAACCCATTGAAACAATGGTTTCGGTTAACGAATTTTTCGGTTAACGAGCAACCTTCTAGAACGAATTGTGCTCGTTAACCGAGGGACCACTGTAGTTGTACCAGAATGGAGGGGATGGGGGTACCAAGGCGGGGAGGGACGGGGTTTATAGTGAGTGAAGTCGAGCGGCCAGCCAGTAGCACCTAGCCCACAGCAGAGGAATTGTTGCTCCCTACTTTGTTTCCGTTTACTGTGAATGTGAAAATATATTTCTTTGCTTTGATTTACATAGTATTCAAAGCTCAGTGCATTTTAATTTAGTTACTTTGACATCATTTTCACCCTTCTTACTGTTGAAAAGAATTTACGCATAGAATTAAGACAAAGAGGCTCCTTTTATGATGACTTTATAGTGCAGTTTACATCACAAAAAAGAAGAATGGAACTACAGTGACCCCTCGGTTAACGAACTCGATCCGTTCCAGAAGGTCGTTCGTTAACCGAAACCATTGTTTCAATGGGTTTTTGGGTAATTGGTTCCAGCTCACCGAAAATTTCCTAAATTCAACAAAAATGTTAGAAAAGTTCACTTACTTTGAGGTGTGTATGTAGAAGGCTCCTGGATGATGATGATGGGATTTAGAATGGGGATGGAGGAGAAGGAAGAAGAGAAGGCATTGGGGTGGAAGAGAAGTCACCCCATGGTGCCATTTCACCCATAAAATTTTAGCTCTCTTGGTGTAATTCAAGATCATTTTCTCTAAATCAACACTGCACTGCATTATATATTGTCAATATGTAAAATATATTTCAAAATGACCAATAATTTGCTTGGAAACACAGAAAAAAAGCGTTTAGTTGAAGAGAGTCTCAAGCAAGATGTTACCTCCAGTGAAAACAGAGGGAGACTAACGCCTGTTTGCTGTGTTAAGAGGCTGGATGCCGCGCATTAAACTAGTCACTTTACCTTCAATTATGTTCAATAATTGTTAAAATGACTAAAAAATTGAATATTAAACTTTTAAAATTATTGAATAGTATAAACTTCTTGATATTTACTAAAATAGTAAGGAATTTAAGCCCTAGAACCGATTAATGTATTGGCGGACTGATACTAAAGCTGGTTGCCCGGTTAATGCAAGCGAAAACATGTTGAGGTCGGTTCGTAAGAAATTCGTTAACCGAATTTTTGTTCGTTAACCGAATTGAAGATCCTTATGGAAGGCAGTTCGTTAACCGAGGCGTTCGTTAAAGGAGGGGTCACTGTAATGTATAAATAAAATGGGTAAGTAAAATATATTTTTGTGTAAATTGCACTGCTAGTATATGTACACTTCTACAATAATTTTCTTCTATTTTACATTTCTCTGTGCTGTTTATATGCATAGTATACTACCTTTTATAAGTATGCTATTTATTTTATATAACAAAGTTTAGTCTTTACCTTATTATAATGCTCAGTACACCCTGTTCCTGTTTCAATACCCACCATACGCCACTGCTGGTTTTGCCGAGTGGACGGTCTTTGGTGGGTGGCAAGGCCCTCCCCGCCATGATGCAGATCGCCCTCTCTAGTGATGCTGTGAAGACCAGCCCTCTGTTTGCACTGGTTAACACCGACTCACAATCCTGTCCGAGTTTTGTCCTGGAACAATTTATGCAGTACTGTTGTCTCTTGGAACACCATACTGATCTGCATTGACCCGCACTTGTAAGTACAGCCTAAGTGATGACATACCCCTCAGTACTGAAATATTGTTGAATAATTATGCCTACTCGTTTCTGCCTTATCTGGAGCAATAAGACAATGCAGAATGAAGTGTAACCAAGATTAATAGAGTTATGAACTTTGTGTTATGTCACTTTGTTTAATAAATTGTGTGAGACTAACTAATTATGTATCAGATGGATCACCATGTAATATTAATGAATGCCTTCTCCACTGCAGGTTTTTGATCACATCAATAAATATTGATTTGTCAATAGGCGGGTTTCAATCATTCCCTTCGACTTGTCCTTACGGTAGTTCTTAACTTGAGGGCATGCCAGTCTTTCAGGAGGGTGTAGGGGATTGAACATTAATGACTGAACATACATTCTCACAAAATATATTTGTAATTTATACTTTGGCAAGGCAGTGTAGGGCAGGATAAACTCTTAACTTTATGTAGTATTGCCAGAGATGTCATTCTATTTCATGGTCCCCCACAAGGGTGATATGAAAATTTGTGTAGGTGAAGTACAGTAATAGAAAGACTGCAGGGCTGCAGTTGTGTTTAACTGGGCTGGGACAGTGTTACTGGAGCCTGGGGTTCCCAAAGGTGGTCAGCCAATTGAACTCCTGAAGTCCAACCCATCAACTTAACCCC